TGTGTCCCCCGACACAATGAATAATTTTTTTTTTATCTCCATGACTGCCCCATCATAGTAAATATTTTCTCTTCTGCTGCATTTGAAACTGGCATCCCTATGGATAATGATTTTTTTAAGTGATATATACACTTAATCGTCATAACCGAGAGACATTCAAGTATTTATTTGTAGATAAAGGTGATTAAAAAGCGATTTTACAGCTTCCCAAAGAACTAGATTTATTAGGGATAAAAAATCACAAGGCTTCTTTCTGACGTCAGGATTATTAGCATCAAATAATATTCAAATACATAATACATCCCTACAAGATGTATTGTACATCTTGACACCTTCCTTGTCTTTGATTTCTGCTTTTTTCCCTCGAGTATCAGTTTCAGTTCAAATATCAACTTCCCATTAAATTCATCCTTTATTCTGATTATCATTAGTTTCCCACTGTGTCACCTTATTTGTGTATCACCTGTGCTAATTAGTTCATCGTTATCTACCCTGTCAATTCCCCTGAGAATTTTATAGGTGGTATCCTATAAAATTGTCACATGTCTCCCCTAGCTCTTCTGTCTTCGTGTCGTGAGGTTTAATTCTAGCAATATTTTATCATAGCTCTCAAATAAGGTGACTTACCTCTCAGCTCTGGGACTAGCCTGGTGGCATACTTCTGAACTTTTTCTAAATTAGTTTTGATTTTGACTAGATATCGATAAAATATAAGTAATAGTAAAAAAAAAAGAACTAATTGGCCTAAAAGGCCATCTAGAGAGAGATTCAGGACTCCGATTCATCCATGAAAATTGTAAAGCTAACAGTCTGTCTTTCCTTGATGTGTTAATAACAAAAACAAAAGCGTCTCTAAGCACCAGCGTATACACCAAGCCTACAAATATAGGATTATGCATAAACGGTCGGAGTGCCCAAAAAACAAAGAGCCAGTGTTCTCAACGCTGATATTCGTCGAGCCCTTATCCACAGCTCTGAATGGAGCAACGATAGTAGGGAGTTTGAAAAGATAACACAAGTACTGGTGAACAATGGCTATAGTAACCACGCGATAAACACCACTTTAAGACATTTGGACCGGTGGTACAATCCTCAACCAAGAACAGAAACCATAACACCTCCAATAAAATCATATTACAAATCCACCATGCACAGTGAATATAAGGAGGAAAGAATAATGAAAGAAATAATCTGTAAAGGAGTAAAACCACAACCTCTGACCAAAACACACACATCGTCATATACAATAAAACAAAGAAGATCACTGACCTCATTAAAAGCAGCCCTAAGCCATATGAGAACACTTTATAGCAATCGAACGTGGTATATATGTACACCTGCCCTCACGAAGGATGTAATCTTCAATCTAAGTAGACAGGTATGACGTCGACCAAGCTCACGAGGAGTTTAACCTGTTATCTTCAATAAGGTGCCCCTAAAAACACATGAGAGAAGCCTTCATGACAGCACCCTAACAAGATAAATGTTGAAATAAAAACACTTGCATATTAGACAAAACCAAAGATATATTACAAAATCTTGAAGCCCTTCACATAAAAGTTGAACAACCCGCCATAGATACTCAAATAACAGCAATTCACTCTACCCACCTACCTTGTATCTACCTCGTGTAGCTTCCAGGAATCAACGGCTCCGCGGCCTTGTCTCCGAGCAGGTCTCCTGGTTGCTGAACTGGTGCAATAGGTACTCAGAGAAACTCCGTCAACATCAAGGGCCTAAGACTTTTCAACACTCCCGCTACACATAAGGGGCATAATACCTGATTAATGAAAATCAAGCCACCCCAAGAGATGGCACGGGCATAAATAGTCCGTAACCACTTCACCTATGTTGTTGTCTTAGATTCAGCTACTGGAACAAAATTTCCATGTAGCACGGGCTATGGTGAACCCGTAAGTGGAGGCTCTTTGGAGCCATTATCAGTATCAATAGCTGATACTGGAGATGTGGGGATGGGGTCCATGGACACGCCAATCCAAGACCACAGAGCAGGTCAGACCGATGAAGTGATGGGGTACAGGTTCCTCACAGCTGAGTGCCACAGGAATCAGCAGGGCTGTCAGCGGGCTGACCGGTTGACCGGTCTAGGGGGGAGATGTCCGGGTGTTACAAGAGGGTGTCCTAATCCCAGTTCCACAATGTTGGTAATTTGGTCGAATTTCCTTCTTCAAGGTGTCGTAGTCGTAGAGGTGGTCGAGGCGTCCCTGACGGACGACCATGCTAAGGATCCATCCTGCTTCCATGCACTTGTATTCCCAGTGGTCGTTGTGGATTATGGTCTCCGGGACGGAGGGCCCGGTAGCAGTTGAGGGAAGCTGGAAGGTCATCGGATGTAGTTCATGCCTTTGTCAACACCGGACTTTGAAAGGCCCAGATCGGCCGAAACGTTCATCTTTCTTTTTCATTTCTCTGTGGATTTTCCCACATACAAATGATCAGTGTTTCGTGATCGTCAATTGCATATATATATATATATATATATATATATATATATATATATATATATATATATATATATATATATATATATATATATATATATATTTTATTTGCGGGATAAATTACTGGGTAACTTAACAGACATGGGATCACTTGACTATTTCAAGATTAGGTTAGACATATATATATGAATGAGTACTGTATGTGGATATAGGTAGGAGCTGCCACGTATGGACCAATAGGCCTTCTGTAGTTTCCTTAATTATGTTCTTATATTCTTATATAGACTGCCTGCCCACGACAAAATGAATTAATTACTGTATTCGAGAAACGTTCCTGGACCCGAGCAAAGATTCAGAAGTCCATTAGACTCCAGGTTAATACAGAGGGTTTGGCAAGTTTACTTCTAAAATCTGTTTCAGTCCATTCTTCTGTTTAGATGGTACTTATAGTAATGATGTAGACTATCGTACATATATTAATTAACAAATTGACAATTAGAATGTAGAATTTGGACAAACTGGAAATGGATTTGAATCTATATTGCTAATAAAAGCTAACCTAACCATCCTAGGCCTAATAAATGTTATCCGACACCTATTATAGTACATGTGTGTTTATTCTCGCCTGAATTTGTTTCTTTTAGAACCATCACCAAATTAATGATGTTTAATCCTCTACCCAAGTCCTTTATTTGTAAGGTAAACTAAAGAGGTTCCAGAACATTCTTGTGGCACACCACTTGCAACACTTTTCCAGGCTATATTGCACCTCAACATAATACACTGTACTTGAGAAAAACATGAATTACGTATTTGTAAGGATAATTAATATTTTAAATGGAAATAATTTACTGGATCTTGATAACAATGAGTTGCTTATTTAGTACTATACTGTTGCTGGTTCTTATCATTTATAAGGTTTGTGCTGGTAAAAATCTATCTTGAAGCCGAAGTCAAATTCGTTAGATTCTTGCAATATATTTGATAAGCTGGTTAATGTGGTAGCAAGCTATTTTATACTTCACATATTTCATAATTTACTAGTACAGTATAGGCTAGGCCTAATCTACAATGTTGATATATTTCTTTGCACATTTCACATATGATCCATTTTCTGCCTCTATTTCTGTGTTTGTCATGTACAGTATGTTCTAATCTGGCCAGTAACTCTACCTATCTCTACCCTTCTGCAAAGTAATAGACTATGCAAAGATCATTGGGACTCAACAAAAGCAGTGTTTTTTTTATCTATGCAGCCATTTCTAGATTTCTATTTATGAATTTGATAAAATTGATAGTTTACAAGATGCATGACATAAAAAAAAATAATTCTAGTTCTTCAGAAGTGGGCATATACCCAGGATACACCAAGCAAGTATTATGCATACAGTGAGTATGTCCTATATCTTGTATATACAAGTCATATACATCATAATATATAATGATGTATACGGCAAGAAGGCTTGGCCCCAAGTTGGAACCTTGTGGTACCCAATTTAGCAAATTTCTCCAGTCAGATTCATTTCCCTTTGCTGTTTTTTTTTAATTTAACCATGTTTAATATATTTTAGTACTTTACCATTTATTCCATGTGGTTGTAATTTCTTTGCCAGTCATTCATCTGATACCTTATCTTTAGAAATTCATACATACCATACAATATCTATCCAATGTCCTTTGAATAGCTGGTTACCATCTCTGTGAGCAGGTTAGTACGGCAAGATTTACTATTTGGGGTATTGGGATATTGTCTAATCTTTCTAATACGAATACTGATATAAAGTATTCATTCAGTGATGGCTGTCTTTTATCATCAATTGTAACTTGGTTGCTCTCATCTTTTAAGCATCCTACCAAGTCTCTTGTCTTTGTGAAGTAGGCATAAGAGACTTGGCATCGTTCTTAAAAGTTTTGAAGCAGTTTTCTTTCATATTTTCTTTTAGCTGATCTGATTTCCCGAGTAGCTGAATTTAATGCTTTTCTGTAACTCATAATCTGTCAGTCCTGATGGAATGATACTTTTTTCAAGAGATTTTGCTTTGTTATTAATTGCAATTCATATAACACTGATGAGTGGTGGCTTATCACCAGATATAATTATGGTGCTCTGGGAGAGGATTTATCACCAGTCTGAAGAGCAGATAACTACGATACTTTGTGCCTCCACTTACTGGGTTTTACATCCTTCACTTCACTTCCCCAAATATCAAAGTGAAATGTTATAACTCACAATAAAGTGGATATATATATGTAAAAAATGACATCCTTCACTAGATTAAATTACAAGGATTAAATGCGTGATTTAGTGGCATGTTTAACGAGTCCACTGGCTACAGTCTTGTGTCTCCCAAACTGTAGTAGTGACCAATAACAACCAAGTTAAGGTCATCACCATCACCTCACCTACAATGTCTGGGACGATGGAATTATGTGAGAATGTCATTGCAATATGTAAAGTGAGGATCTTACAAGTTGCCTTACCTCTTGCGAGGTGCTCAGCTGCTGCTAGTGCTAATCCCGGCTAAAATGTTCACTTACCTTCGTTTCACTATGACGACTTGATTTGGTGATATATATTGTAAACAGGAGACAGATTGGCTCCTCTGACGACACTGTCTATCAGGAGTTTCACCTTGTTATCTTAACACTTCCTCCAGACACAACCATTCAGGTTTTCACGATGAACAAGTCGTAACTTTCTACATCTGCCGTGATGTGTCAGGGCGGGTCAGCCTCACGTGGGAGGGTGAGCGGCCTCAAACACTGCTTCACCACACAAATACTGCACACACATAATTTATAGTATCGGGAGGTGGTAGAAAGTGCGGTGTAGAGTTTAGTGAGAGAGTTAGAGAGAGGAGTATGTACACACACTCGCCCCGGCACTCTGATCAACACTGAGTGTGTCGGGGAGCAGACACACTCACCTCGATACCAAAACAATATTAACACGCCCATTAACATCCCATAACATTCACAAAGTAACATGCAGATACTATTAGTACTTTTGATTTCATTAATTATTTTACATGTAAATAGTTATGATGAGTGTATCATTTACTGTTGATTGATACCTTAGACAGGACTCGAGGCTCTCAGTTGATCCTTACTAACCTTTGAAAAGAAATAATATAAACTTTAACTCAAAACAAACCTTTCATTACAGCATATACAAATATTTAAATCTGATATACATATATTTTCGTTTCACTAATATTCCTGTAAATATAATAAAGTTTTTGTTTCTTATATTTCAGGCGTTTCTCTCTTATTTCTGCCTAGTGAAATGTTGTTGGAACTATCAGCTGTCAACAAGGACTGTTGTTCTCGGTTTTCCACACGAGAAATTGCACATTTCCTTCATGCAGCCTAACGAAATCGATTGCACTTTATTATTATATGGGGATAAAGTTTGGCGTGGTTGTTGTTAGTTGGTTAGTGAGGGTTGAAGGTTGGCGGAGCGTGACCGGGGGGTCATAATGGGGCAGCATGGCGAGCCTCGGGTGCACTGGACCAGAACACACCACCACCTCCCCAACACTCTCCTTCCTCTCTCACACACTTATCCCTCCCACCACAACCTCCAAGGTAGGCACTGAGAGTTGGCAATGGGTTGTAAGGTGTGCCAAGGGACGGGGGAAGGATGGGTGGCTCGGGGGGTGGAAGGGCCCAGTAGACGGCCGATGGGGCAATATATAGTATTGTGGTCAGTGTGATGTTGAACCCTGGTGTAGGCAGTGAGCATGTCCAGCGTGTCCATCTTGTAGGTCTGCTGCTTCCCTGGCTCCTGTCGACCTCAAGAGTCCTCTTTTTAAGCATTTTTCAGTAGACTTGCAGCACCACTCATATTGTTAAGATGTGAGTACTGTGTAGTGTGGTGAACTTTGCTTCACTGATCTTTAAACTTTGTGTTCATTAATAAATGTATATACTCTTGTAGGGATTAGATAGACTAGTGTCATGCCTGAGTGTAGGCAGTCAAGGCTGAACTTTGCCAGCAGTTATCACTTTCAAGGAAAAACTAGTTTCATTCCAATTCATTTATTTTTAATACAGAAAAAATACTTTTAATATAGCTAATGGTACCAGATGCCCTTATATTGCTTTCCCTTAGTGTGATCAGGATCATATGAGAGTGTAGGCCCATGGGTTGTTTCAGAGTTCTGATAAAGGATAACAATTATGACCTAACTGTAACATGTAAATTTGGCTTGAACTCTGTGCAAAACAACTTGGATATGGCTGTAAAAAACTGTGTATAGTACCTAGGGATTCCTTGTGCAGTGCTGCTAACTAAAACTAACTAAAAGGTTGTGTTTACTGCTAGATATAGAATAGAAGCTGTCACACACTCAATTTGTAAGACAGACCTTGATGAGTATTAACAGGCTTCCTGTTAATACTCATCAAGGTGCCAGCATCTTTAAAAATGTATGGAATTTTAGGTATAATAGACCTAAATCTGTTTATTACATTAACTCTTAATAGTGTTTTTTTTTATGTGGGAAAGAGTTAAGGCACATGTTCAGTCTTCTCCAGACATTTAAAAATACCATGCTTAGTTACATAATGATTTATTCAACAGAGAATTCAAGATGAGTTCCGATACTTTGACCTTGCCAACAGATGTGGAGGTTCACGAGAGTATCACCAATATTGCCATCTGGTTAGAAACTCATAGTCATGCTGGGCCCCAGTGAGTATACCTTAAGCAGTAATGTTGCATGAGGTTATGTGTATCTCCTTATTCCAGGCATTTACTAAGATATGAAGTTTATTTACAAAGTCCAAAAAGTTATTGTACAAGTTTTATAAATACTGATGTTGTTTTTGTTCCGTATTATGAAGTACTATCTGATTTATGTTTGGAATATGTAAATTAATATTTTGTATTGCCTCAATTGTGTATAGACAAACTCCAGAAGAGATCACATCAGAAGATTTAGCTGTAGCTGTACCTGGGGAGTGTCTCTTCCCAGAGCTATGTGCAGAAAATGAGGAAGCATCACATGAAGAAGAGAAAGGTATCCTTGTGTACACAGATAGTCATGAAGGTAATGATAGTGTAGATTTTTTTTAAATTAGATTTTTGTGCCTATTAAATGCTTTTTTCAGTTAAAAGATTCTGTTGAGCAAAGGCTTGTGTGAATGATTACTGGTTTGCTATCCAAATCAGTGTATCTTTACCGGGTCAGCCAGGCTGTTGGACATGGTTGCTTGCAGCCTGACGTATGAATCACAGCCTGGTTAATTAGGTATCTTTTGAGGTGTTTATTGAATTCTCTCTTGAACACTGTGAGGAGTCGGCCAGTTGTACCCCTCATGTGTAGTGGAAGTGTGTTGAACATTCTCGGGCCCCTTGATGATAGTTCTCCCTCGAGTACCTAATGCACCTCTGTTTTAAGTTTTAGTCTTAAGTGTTTTCCCACACCTTGCCCAAAACGACGTGCGTATTAGTGGCTTTATGCATAGGCACAATTAGAGAGAACTGTATAAACATCAGAGGTCCACGATTGTTCAACATACTCCCAGCGAGCATAAGAAATATTGCCGGAACAACATTGGACATCTTCAAGAGGACACTAGATAGTTTCCTCCAAGGAGTGCCAGACCAACCGGGCTGCAGTGGGCCTGCGGGCCACTGCAAGCAACAGCCTAGAGGACCAAACTCTCACAAGTCAAGCCTGGCCTCGGGCCGGGCTTGGGGAGTAGAACAACTCCCAGAACCCCATCAACCAGGTATCAGAGTCCTCAACAAAGGTAAGATTTACTGTACTTAGTACAAAATATGAGCGGTATTCAGTATAAAATGTAGTATATTTTTAAATTAATATTTTTGGGTGTGTGGAACAGATTAATTAAATTTTCAATATTTCTTATGTGAAAATTCGCTTTGATTTACTATTTTTTGGTGTATGACACATCTCTGTGAATGGATTAGAATCGTAAATGAAGGTACCACTGTATGTTCATTCCCCACTGCATCTTAGCAACTCCAAACCACAAAAACTCAACAACTTTAGGCTATGCCGTACCAGCTACAGTCGCTCTCTTTATATACATATTTTGAAATTACAGTATCTGAATGTAGAGAAAGTGGAGGTATATTTAAATTTGAAAATTATATTCATAAGTTTTTGCATCAAAAGAGATGCCTGGCATAGTGATCAAGGATAGTGCTTGATTGGCTCCAATTAAAATGTATCTAGGGCTTTCAGGTTCCTCATTTGTATATAGTAATATTAATTAAAAAACATCCACTTATGTATACTGTACTATGGATTTTCTTAACAGATAAATACATCTGGCTGAAGGGAGACTGGCATCCCTTGGAGAGAGTTTTACTCATTTCTTCGCCAAACAGTGGATGGGTTCGAGTGAGTAAATCTGGATTTGCACAATTTCATTTGTAACTTGCATTTGTTTTTTAGCAGAAGATTATTGCATGAATATTAAACTTCAATGGAATAATGTACGAGACATAAGAAACATTAAAACTATGGGTATTGAGCATTAGTGGCAAAGTGCCTGTTATGTCAGACTTCGTGCCTGGGTGAGCGGCTGCTGGTGCTTGTGCTGACGCAGCTGGACTATGCTGCTCGTGAGGCTGAGGCTGAAGTGCCCTATGGCTGCTGTCCCCTGACTGACCTTACCTACCTCCTCTGGCATCTACATCGTCCAGCTGGCATGTGCTCGCTCAAACGCAAGGGTCAGTGCTATGCTTATTTCCTACTTCTATTCTGTAGTTTCAACATTATCATGAAGGTCGGTGATCTGCATGAACTGTTTCTGCATAGTTTCATATAGTTAATGTAAATTTTTTGTTTTTTGTTCCATGTATTTTGAGTATGCATAAATAAATACTTTTAGTTGGAATTATGCATTTATTGAAGTAATAAAAACATTTAATAAGCACAAAATTCTAACATAATTCTTATATAAAATGGGATCATCTAATTTACTTTCATTAAACAGGTACAAGTATATGGGGTGGTGAAGATGTATATGCATGCGACACTCTGGATACCATGTATGTTCGACCATGTGCTCGAAGACAAGGTCATTCATTAGCTTTGTTGCGGACACTGGCATCAGAACTTCCTCCTGGTGATCACCTTGGTTTGTCTCATCCAGTCTCTCTCAGTATGTGCAAAGGTAAATTCTTAGAAATGATGCTTTACTCTTAATTTCTTACCACAAGAACTTATAATATTGTAATACTGTTGTTACAAGTGATTTATGTTCAGTGTGATGTTTGAGAGATTAAGAGTAATACAAATATTTTATTTAGGGGTCTTGAAATGAGCCTAAACTCAGACAGTCCTGATGTAAAATTAGTAGTCAATTTTTTTAAATTGTTTATTACAGCATTACTAGCCAATAACAATAAAGCTAGGCTGGTGTTAATAATAAGTTATACATCGAGAATTTATAGTACTGTTGTGGGATTTACTCCTCAACTTAATTTCCTGAGTTGATTCTTGAAGCAGTATATAAATTATGCATATATTTGGGAAAACTTCCGAATGAAATTATACTAATTTAAAACAACTGTAGAATACTTATTTATTAAAAACAAGAAACTAAAATCATTACTCTAGAAATCTACTGTAAACAAAGTAAAGCAAAAACAACCAGCGTTGAATGTAATGAAATGTCATTTTCTGGGTGTGACCCGGAGGTTTCCCAGAGCTATACCAGGCTGATGTGTATATATACCAGACCGTGACAACAGTCAATCGATGGAGTTCTTGGCCTACCGGAGACCACAGTAGTTACTGTGTGTTATGGCGCTTATTTAATTTATATTGTCTCTGGAACTGCCTGATTCACTGTTGAGTCTGAAAAGAACTAGATTAACTGTTCCTGAAATTTAGAGACTAAGAAACGCGAACAGCAGCAGCAGCAGGCGTGTCGTGGAGTCTTGTTGGTCCCTGCTAACAATGGCGTCTCGCTCCCATTAGCCCTTGCGAGCAGGAGGAAGGGAACTTTGTTTATAATCGGTGATTGTTCAACAATGTTTTAATTTTAATAAATGCCATGGCATTATGATAATTTTGGTAATTTATAATTAGGGCTATAAGATTTGAGTCCTGGCGTTAATGTATCGCAAATTGAGACTCGTTTGGGGGGATGTCCTGAGCCCCAAATTTGTGTGTGTGTGTGTGTGTGTGTGTATATATATATATATATATATATATATATATATATATAGTGTATATTCCATGAAATTATCAAGATATTATATATAAGGACTTAGAATGCACTAAGTATTATGGCAAGATTTTCATAAAGAGAAGAAAATCTAATTTTTAAACTTTTGATTGTTTCTGCAGTGCTATTAAAATTCATTCAAGTGTATCCTGAACTACGAGATACTCTATGGACCCTGGATGAAGATGGGGAAGTTTCTGGCACTGTGACTCTGATGCTGGGTTCTCTTATGATGCGTGGGGCCCTTCTCGGAGCTGGCACTCACATCTCTTCCCAGCCTCACCAACCTATGGAGGAAGCCCAGCAGCCCATGGAACAAACAGATCAACCTATGGAACAGACAAATATGCAGCAGAAGGAACAAGTGCAACAGCAACAGGAATCTGAACCCTGTGATACATCTTAAGGGCAAACCTGGAGGGGCTCCAGGAGACACTAATTTTATTTATTGAAGTTCATTTGTTGTTTGTTGAAACTTATTCAGGAAGAGTTTATAAATTTGTTACATAATCTGCAATTTTACCCATTTAAAATTTTAAGCAAGTTGTTACTATTTAAGATAAATTAATTGTTAATTAAGCAAGTTTACTAAAAGTAATCTGTATGCATTAACTGAAGAAAATGCTGGAAAAAAGAATGATTAAACCCAATCTTCTTTTTTATTATGAGAATGTTTTTAATAACCAGTACTTGTGTAATCTCTCAGTAATAGGAAGGCAGAATTTGAGGTTAAGCACATGTGCAAATACTGGATCAGTAATTTATATAAGCTCTGCCATAAATTATGACATTTCAGCTACAATGGTCAAATAATCGAGCTCAAAATGATTAGCCGGATTCGAGTTAGTCACAGTGTGGCATTGAGGATATATTCACCACAATTATTTGAAGACATTAATACACCTGTTTGTAGTTGGCCAGATTTGCTGTCCATCACATGGTAAGTGTTTCATACTTGGCATGTGATGTCTGAAGCAGTATCAGTAAGGTGTATGAAACTACAGTACTGTAGTTTAAATTATACTGAAAGACACAAGGTGCTTCATTACAGATAGTTTAGCAACACAGTTGCTCAAAAATTGTAATATACAGTATCAGAAATTGATTAGACTAAAAGCATTGGCCTCATTCATCCATGAGAAAACTCACAAGGAAAGTAAAGTGTACAGTAATTATTTGTTTTATCATTTATGATTTTATCTCTGGCTACTTTATTGTGTAATAAGTGGCAAACTATCAAGTCTTATGGTTCTTGTTTTCCTTTTAAAAATCTTTATTCCTCTTTTTTTTTTCTTTGTGCTTTTGGATTGTGCAAGTGGATCCACCTGGATAAACAGATTGTGGTTTATTTTCTCTATCAAAAGTGTAATTATATATGAGCTATACATTGAATTATGGTAATTGGTAATTTAGATTGTCACTCAGAGGATAGGATAAGATTACCAGTCATACACAGTAAAATATTAATTGAATTACTGTATGCAACTGGACCAGCAGTTACTGGCTAGGAGGGAAGGTCTGCAGACATGAAACAAAAAAAATAAAAATAAAAAATGGCAGACATTGAACCTGCATTCTGCAAGTCTGAAACAATTGGGAGACCAAAACTAGGTGGTCCTCGAATGAGTTTTCAATCTATAAGGTGACCAAGCGCTCAAGAGGGAGATTCCCAGTTACATGTACTTGTACAAGGTGAGGCACTTCTCAATTTTACCACATACAGTATTCTTTGTTTATTCCCGCCAAACACACGACGTTGCTACAATGTTCGAACAAGTTTTAACACCTAACAATTGTAACAACCCATATATAGCAAGTTGTAACAACTTCATTCTAATACATCATAAAAATGTTATAACAAGCTGTAGCAACTTCATTACCAGTTGTAACAAAGGAATCATATGGGCCGTTACGTTGTGTGTTTGCAGGGTTGTAAAAGAACATAGCCAAGCTAAGTGTAAGTACAGTATTTGAAATCTTTTAAATAGTTGCGAGTGTTGCTGCAGATTCCTACATACAATGAGAAGCCTTTTAAGCAAAATTTTGTGTGGAAGATTGTCACTGTTCATAACAAAGGAAGAGGCGTACCGTACAAGATTTTCCCTGAAGTAACTTTATCGATAAATAAATGTTGCAGTAATTAAGAAATGCATTTTATACGCATGCATTGTCAAAAAGGTTATTGTGAGAAGTATCTAGGACTGCTTCACTTTTATTTTTTAAGTACAATATATTAAATTTTGGCAGCAGGAATGTGTGTGTGTAACAGCTTGTAGTACAAATGTTGGAAATGTTCATTATGTACTTGTACATACCCATATAACTATGAATGTTTTGTCTAGTTGATCAGTGCGCTGCTTTACGTTTAGCGATGGTATACAAGACTGAGGAAGGATTATAATACTGAAACGTGGTCTTCCCATAGGAGGAAAGAAGGCATGTGGAAGGATCTCACTTGCATTTGTATGTTTACAAAACCTTCAGTTCAGTGTTTGCTATGTTTGTTAGACATATATAAATGAAAGACAGCAATGTTAAAATATATTGCATATTCCACATCATTGTACAGTAAATAAAAAGTTACCTAGTCTGAAACATTGGAAGCTAGAGCAAGAAATTTACACACAGATGTAAGAAGTGGAAGATATGCAATTAGCTGGAACCAGAATGGGAGCATAATGGATTAGTCAACCAAAACTATCTGAATGTGTTTTGAGTAAAGTAAAAGTGCATACACAATGGCATAATATGGTAACTAATTATGGTTGTGACTATTTTTAAGATATCTAAATTATGACAAAAATATTGCATACCTTGAATGTTAAGAGATGTGTAGGTGCTAACACACATTTGTGGCCTTGACTTGGGTGCTTCAGTCTTCTTGTTTGGATTCATACATTTTTTTGTTGATAAAAGTTTTCCTGCTTCTTTGTTGTTGCTCTAATATTAGTTTAGGCCATTCCACAAGGTTGGTATTAGTATATTTTACTACATTAGCTTTTACCTTTTAAGAAAATATTTAATTTTAAAATATTCTTATATGGGATTGTGTTCCATTGTGCCACTTTGAAACTTAATTACAAAAATACAGTATGTAATATAAAGCATGCAAATTAAAAAATCAGCAAAAATGTTCCTATAATATTCTTCATTCCTTCTGGTAGGTTGTTTATGTAAACAATGAACATTGCCAGTGCAAGAACTATACCCTGTGGTACTCCACTCGTGACATTTCTACAGTCCAATACATTGCCTCTGATTACTACCCTCATTTTCCTGTTGGTTAGAACAAATTTCATGACATGTTAGAAGCCTGCCCGTTTCTCCTCCAGTATGTTCCAGTTTACAGAACAGGCTCTTACGTGGGACTCGGTCAAAAGCTTTTTTAGGTCCTGATAGTAGCAGCCAACTCTACCATCTTTTCTTTAAAATCTCTCTGGCTCTATCATAGAAACTTAAGTAAATTCATTACACAGGGTCTTCCAGATCTAAAACCGTACTGTCTATATAATTTTTCTTGAGGTGGTCAACCAATTTGGTTTTAATTATTTTTCTAGTATTTTGACTTCTTGGTTTATTTTCTAGCATTTTGAAAACTTTGTTTATTTCAATATCTAGATTAAATTAACATTGATCTTCAAAAGGTTGTAGTTCCCATTGATAAGGAGAGCGTTGGCCAAGAAACCTGTGATGGATTCACAAAAACTATTTTATCTGCCTTTCTGATAACATATCCAAATATAAGCTTTATTTGTGAATCTCTATTAATTAAGCAATATATCAGATGTAGGGTTCAGTGTTCTATGAGCAAAAAGGACATAAGTAGCGAACGCATACCAACGAATAACATTAGTATGAAAGACAGTGAGAAGGGGGGGGGGGAGGAGGAGAGGTGTTAGTGTTCGGAAGGGGAGTCCCCCTTCCATTATAACATCAGGCAGTGATGACTTCTCTGGGGTACACACTGGCACATTTTACCTGCATATCACTAGGACCTGCTTGTAGCTCACTGCTGTGTTTTTCTCTCTATAAACCTGTCTAGTGACACTTGTTTTTCCCCTACATTTGTAACACTTGTCTGAAGTGAGACATCACATTGTCATTAAAAAGGTTAACAACGTCCTACTACTGATTGCTCTGGGTAAATTAATAACTTTTCAACATCAAGTGTTTGTGTTCTTTGTTTTGTGATTGTTGATACACCTTTTGCCACTTTAGCACTCAATGTCCTTTTTCTTAGCAATTTCAGTGCATATTGTTGACAGATTTGTTGTACTGCCTAGCTAGTTCAACAACCCATGTACCATTTTCATGTTTACGAATGATCTCTTGTTTTTTCCTCTATGGTCATTCTCACATGTGTTTTCTTGGCTTGAACCTTGCCACTGGCTTTCTTGGGGCCCATGGCGAGATACATAATAACTTTTATGTTCAAATACCCAAAATACCCAAAAGAATTCAGGCATGTGTCACTGGGTAGGAGGCACTGGTAAACTCAGGCACGGTCGCCCACGGCAAAGTGAAACTGTTTAGGGGAAAGCAAGACTAAAGGTCTTAAAAATCAGAACATTTTGTGAGGTGGTGTACAACTGAAAAAGGTATATAATGAAGCAACACACAGCTTTTTAAAATATTATATTAAACTGTATTTCTTGTAATTATAAGAGCTAATAATAATGGCTCACCCTAATTTGTTTCTCTACTACGAAAGTTCTCCAAAGGATTGACAACCAAGTACAGTACTGTATATCAAGCTAGTAAGTTATCTGCGGGGTGTCCAATCCTTACTGAACATGAAGTACTGTATTTGTCATGCAAAGCTTACTAAGCTGTTATGGAGCCTACTCAACTTTCATCATCAAATATATGACCTCAACTAACATACTAACATACCAGAGCAAAGTTCAAGAACAAAAAAAAATTGGCAATGAGATTTACAATACAGTAATACTGGAAAGTGAATATGATATGGTATGCTACCATGGGAGAGAAAGCTTGTTAGGCTTATTGAGGCCCTGCCAATAAGGTGAGGCTGCCTGAAAATGATTGACAGTATTCTTATCACATATTCACTAGGAAGAACCTTGTATTACCAAATACAGATCTAGTTTTGTTAAAACATGGCACTGCTAATATTACCAATCACCACCACTAGTGTTGCCAGGCATATCACCACCACCACTCTTGCCAAACATATCACCAAATAAAGGCAGACACAATATTAAAGACAGCACATCACTTATCCACTACATTGTCTGAGATTTAAATACATATACAGTACATACAAACATAGTTCGCCATGCTGCATCGTTATTTAATTGCAAATACAAAAATTGTCTTCCATGAAATGGCAGAGAACAATAAATTCAAGATAAACTTGCAAAGCTTAAACACACAATGGTCAAGAGGGCAATTACTTTCCTGAATTAAAATGATCATACAGGGTTTACTACAAGCTATTGCTTAACTTACACTCCATCATTCCACCACATTTTTAAGTACCATTGATTAGTCTTTCTTAAGGGCAGACTGAATGTCTTTAAGAAGCATTGAAGAAATAACCATCTTCTCACAGTGAACGGTAATGGAAGCATCCAGCCTATCTTGCGAGATGGAGAGACAGACCAACACTAATGCTTTCCCCGAGGCAGTCTGTCCACCAAACCTGTAATAAGACAGATATTCTTAGTTAAATCCCGTATTTCTTAAAGAACACCTGTGAAAAACATGCTTGTTGCATTAACTATAGTAGTAGTTCCTAGATATTATCCAGCTACCCATATACAACTAGAACATGCTGGATATTGGATAAGTACAGAGAGAAGAGAACAAGTAGATAAGCCCCCGAGAATTCAGCAGACGAGCTACCTAAAGCGACCAGCCTCAAAGAGCCACAGACCCCAAAGACCTCCCCCGGTTGAGACAATGAACCACTGGGTAACAGTCCGAATGGAGCTAAATCACTGAGCCCCGAGGCATTCAAATCCACTGTAGCGCCTGCCAACTGCCACAAACTCTCGCACCATGCTGTGAGCCTGCGCCTGTGAACATGACCACCACTCAAAAGTTCCCAGGGGAACATACAGGGAAGGACACCTAGAATATAAAGAAACAAGATAAAATGGCATGTAGCAGCTGGAGTGTAACCATAGGTGAACCAAGGAAAGTAAGCACCACAGCAGAGATGTTTGGTGGAATGAAAACAAACATGTACCAATGGAGGATAAAAGTGATCCCAAGAACTAAAGCTTCCTAAGGAAGAGAAAAAGTCTGAAGTGTCATCACAGACAAAACAGGACAGGAAAAGATGTTACAGAACCCCTGTAACTGTTCAACTATGTACGGCTCTCTTGTTACAGAGGCTCCCTGACACCCTCCTCTTCCCAGGGTGTTGGTGTTTCATCACCATAGAACTGATGGAGTGGACCAGCTGACCTGCCCCCTAACCCTCCTCCCTCAAATGAGGGGGGGGGGGGTTAGAGGTGGTGCACACTAGTTTCACAAAATTTTGGTGGTTTGTTTTCATTGTTGGGAAGAGTTCTTTTGGCATTTTTGAGGCTGTGGTCTTTTTCTTACCATGTAGTAGTTTTGTTTTGTGTTGCCTAATTTTCTAAGTGCCTTCCATGGTGTTGACAATTATGATTAACTTTAAATGTAAAGTGTTCACAGGCCCTCTCTCCCTGCACCTCTCTGAGGGGGGCCAGGTTCTGGCTTGTCATCACCGATAGGCCATTAGAACTCCACGACTGATGGCACCTAGTATAGTAGTATGGCACTGAATCAGTGGGACAACTTCAGGGAGCCTCTGGCGCTCATGCAGAAATTGGCATTTCATTACATTCAATGCTGATTTTTTGTATGATGTGTCATGATAGGACAGGATATGATAGCCCTGTCATACTCAATGATAGATCCATTAAGTATGACGTATACAAAGTATACATAAATAAAAAAAAATTAATGTTACTCTACTGCACTTGCATCGATGTGTATTAAATTACTGTTCAATGCAAATATGTAAAGAATCCAACTCACTTTAAGATAGTGTTGCTGGCACACTGAACTTGGCGGAGGTTGGCAGTCTCATAAACCCGGTTCACTAGATTTTTGACGTCTTGATTACTGCTAGAGAGATTCACCGAACCACTCAGTTCATTCATTCCTCGTAGTTTAGTCTGCAACAGCCACAATAAATCCAGTTAATTTAATTCTATATCGTTTCAAATAATTTTGTCCTTACTGTTTTTTGTAAGTACTGTATGTAGGTCTGCTAATACAGTACAGCACTGTAATTAATGAGAAAATCTGTAGGAGCCATGAGGAGGATTTGAATCTGCGTACTGGGTACGCCCAAGCATACGCCTTAGCCCAGTTCACCACAACTCGTTAAAAATCTATGAAACCTGGGATTCAACTGAATCGCAAGTGGTTCTGCTGGTTTTCTCATTGATACATCACATTACTGCAATTTCTTTGTGCAACTGAAGAGAAGCATTGGAAGTAAAATACAGTACCCATACCATAGCCAGAGTGCATGCGGGCATTGAGTGAATCCCTGACCTGGCTTCAGTGGAAGTCTCAGGAGCCGTAGAAGATTCAGCTGAATCCCAGGTTTCTTTGCTTTTGAGCATGTCGTGGTTAAGTGCTCTAAGGTATTTGGGTACTGTACTTGGGAGTACTCGGTGCACAGGTTCAAATCTTCCTCATGTTGCCTACTGATTTTCTCACCGATTCATTACGTTTATGTGATTTCTTTGTGCACTGCAATTAATCCATATTCAAATTCGAGTTTCCTAATGGGCAAGTTTTGACAAGTTCAGAACACCTATTTGGTTCTCAACACACATTTGAACTATGAAAGGAGAAGCCTACATTTAAATTCATTTAAAATTTTGACTAGTCTTCCTGCCCACACCACACAATTAACAGGTTGACAAAACACTTGTCACAAATGTCAAAATACAGTAATATTAATAACTAAGCTAGTTCATAATGAAATTACATAAAATACCACTTACCTGATTAAAATTAAAATCAGCTTCATTCATTGCTAATGGCATTAACAACTCTCCAACTGATGCTGTAATACTAATGTTGAATGTTTGTCCACCCGCTATCAGGTCAAATACTGCTGGTTGGATTGTGTCGTTGAAGTCCACACCAAGAGTGCCATGCAGGGTAGTATCCGGACTCAAGACTGCTATACCAGCAAACTCGTGAAGCGACATTCCTTGAGCAAGTTTCTTGCTGCCAACACTAATGTCACGAATTTCCTCACTACTGCTGTTGGTGAATGCGAGCTCAACCGATGTCATGCGAGGGGAATAAAGATGAGGAGAGCGTGTGAAGCGACACGACACAGCAAGACCACCGCCACTAAGTCGGTTTAGCAATTCATGTGTAACTATTGGTACAAACTTGGCAGAAGTAGGCTTAATAGAAGCACCTGGTGGAAGTGGTTGAGAAGGATGTGAAGATGGGGAGGGTGTCAGGAGACCACCCAGTGAAGGAGTAAGAAGTGGGGTATCCATGGAAGGTGGTGAATCATCCAAATCCAGGAGTAAATCTAAGTTACTACGGTTGCCACTTCCCTGAGGCATCTCACATTTTGGTTCTGGCTCTTTTTTTGTCTTCTTTTTCACATATTCATCAGACACTTCAGAATCTTCCGACTCGCCACTTGACGACTCTCGGCCTGATGACGAAGAGGAAGATGAAGATTCCGAATCCTCGCTGCCTGAAGACTCTGAACCATTACGTTTTTCTGAACGTTTTTTGCCACTGCTGCTCGTCTTCCTCTTTATTCTCGGCTGCTCCTCTTCATCCTCACTGTCGGATCCATTATCATCTTCACTGCTGGTCTCAGAACTGTCAGTGTCACTGCTATCACTCTCACTATCACTTTCACTGCTGCTGTCACTTGCATCATTTTCACTCTCATCTTCAGGAGAACTTTCATCAGAATAAAATGATTTAATCTTCTGGGGTTTGCTCTTCTTTTGGTGTGAAGGTCTGTGATGATTTTCAGGGGTGAACGATGGCGGGACTTCCACATAGCGTACAATTGGGTCAGGAGCCACTTCTGGGAATGGGGGCAAGTCTTGATATCCTGTGGCTCGTGCATTAATGAGATGAGACAAAGTGCTGAGCTGAAACTGATCACGATCTGAAAGTGAAAGAATGTTGTACAGTATGCTAATGTTCTTTCTAGTTATAACTTAATTTTACGCATTCAAGATGAGAGAATTATTACTTATTTTTTTTTAATTTTCATGTTGTGTGGAAAAGCCATCAGCCCCACAAAACATTTAGGTAGTACTGTGTAGGAAAATGAGCTAAATACAAAAATTACTCATGCATTTACCATACATGCTGTAATGCATCACGGAGAACAAACACCCATCACACTCCAGCAGATTATCCACAGCATCACTACATATTCATGACTTAATGACAGGAATCTGATAATAATAGCAATGTTCAAACTGATAATAGCACTGCACGCAGTGTATTTCTGGCAATTTTGCTCCATCAGGTGACTTCGCCTGCTGGTGTCAAATGGTCATAGCACATACGTCTGTACTGTGCTAAGATTTCACCACCACACACACACACACACACACACACACACACACACACACACACACACACACACACACACACACACACACCAGAATTACTTAAAGTGTTTCATTATGGTTTATAAAAATATAGTTATATAACATGTGTAATATATACAGTATAACAGCAAAAACAGTTGTATTCATCTAAGAATACAAAATATACGTGTCACTAGATACGAGTACCACATTTTGAGCATAATGGTGTTCAACACATTTAACTATATAAAATTCCTTAAACTACATAGTTTTGAATAATATTACAGCAAAAAAAAAAAAGAGAAAAAGCCAATGAGAGACATCGAAATAATTGTGGAAAAATACATTCGCGACAACCGGTAAAGCTAGCATCTCCCATCGCCACATCACCCAAAAGTTGCTCAACTTCTCGGCTCCATTGTATGTCACATACGATATTTTGCTTTTAGTTTCCCGTGATCAAAAAATGCATTGTAACAATATAAGAAGAAAAAAATTGGGGAAATACCTTATTTTTGGCACACCACAGGTTTGTCACACATAATGCGGCACAGTACCAGGGTTAATGACGATACGTTCCAGTTACTGAACTATGAAAAAAATATTTAAAATCGGACAACACAGGCACTGTCCATTGGTAAAATCTTTCTAGACCATCAAGTGTCCTAAAGTATACTGTAGTATCAGATTCAAAGTATTTATGTATGTTTGTATAGTGTGCATGATATAGTAAAAAAAAATCCCTTTTGTCTCTAGGCAGATGCCTCCTTCATCCTATGAAAGAAAGAAGTGGAGTATTATGAATAATATTATATTATTTATCGCTACAATGAAACCGACATTTTAGAATAGGAAGCAAGCCATAAGAACTTCTCTTTAATTCCAAGACAAACAACTATTGTGTTGAAAGTAATGTGAACAAACCTTTAAAACTAGACTGTTGTACTGGAGGTGGCTTAGTGGCTAAGAATATTTTCTTTGCATGTTTTGCAAGTTTATTATCCTCATGACCCTGTGGTGGAAACACTAATGCTCTTGTGAGACGTGCACGATCACGGATGTCATAGTTGGTGTCATATTTTGCTAAATTATAAACATACTGACAGAGAAGACGGGTCTGCTTAGGATTGGTCAAGTATAGTTTTGTTGCTAGAGTTAGAATCTGCAGTTTCACGATGTCCTCCTGTAAGAGAAAAAAGGTAGAATTAGCATTAAATTCTTAAAAATGCTATATTTTTATTTAAACAATGAAACTAACGTATAACGTATTTAATACAAGTACCATACTACTACTTACACCTTAGAGGATAACTTGAATTGTATTGAAAATAGGGTACCAACCGTATTCTGACTTACCAATGCCTTTCAGATAAAGATATCAAAAGGCATTTTATGGTTTGTCACTTTCAGCAAAGGCTACAAAAACTGACACAGAATAATAGTCTCCCTATTTTTCTTCAACTTGCAGTATCTCAAAAACTTTTCCCTGCTGTACTCACAAGTTAAACATTTAATTTAACCTAATAACAAATTACATGTTTGTTTATTTACTTATTTATATACAAGAAGTACAATGGATTTGTGAGTACATAACACTGGTGTTCTTACATTCTTGCACAGACACCAACATGCACAGCATTTTGGGCAGATGTCATTCATCAAGTTCATTAAGTCATTATGTGTCATTTTTAAGTTACCTCGGATATAAAGGTCTTGGCCATTTTGCGAAGTACATCTGGGGCAATCTTTGGCACTTTATCACAATACTCGCCAAGCAGCCAGAGAATACTGGCCCTTGCCATGGGGATCTTGATATTATCCATGAGGCGTGCCATGTGACTGATTATATCCTTGTGACCCACCGTCTCACTCTGCAGGAGTTTGCGGATAACTACCACACTCTCGCCCACAACAGACTCTGTAAATGTTACCAGTCATTACTTCACTAATATGGTAGTTATGCCAAAGAGTCACAGCTTTGCCAAGCTTCTGGCATATTTATATACAATATAATATGTTCATATACCTAAATAAAACTATTATTCAATTATGATGTAATTTATAGTTTACACTAAGGCAATATGAAAGATGTTAGATAGAGCTCTAATGAAATTCATTAACAGTATCATAACAATTTGGGCTAGTTATTTGTGTACTTATATTATCATTACCCTATCTCTTACTTACACGATGTAGGGTGGATAGGGAAATTATCTAGAAAATGATGACTATTATTCGACACTGTGAATATGAAAAAATTACTACAGTGCGCTTTGGTTAAGTCAATTTGAAGTTCACAGCCGAAAGGTAACAAGTTTCCCAAAGAACAAACTCACCATCTCTGTTTGACAAGAGGGAGACAAGGCCACTCAAACATGTGTCTGTCACTTCTCTGATGTTTGATGCACATCTGCAGGAAGCAAGCATCAACACTTTATTAAACATACAACTCCATCTGCCAACAGCTGGTTCCAAATACATATAAAATACAGTTACAGTAGTATAAAAGATGCCACCCATTATCTACTTATTCATATGCTCTAATGAGCCAATTCCTTACTTTTAAAATTGACAAAACATTTCAATAAAATGTTAATACTAAACAGTATTGCATTCAATACATTAGCATCTTCTTTGACCAGAATACTACTGTACAGTATAATAAAAATTAATGCTACCTAGAATTAATTTTACTGGGGGAGCCCCTTGGCAGCTTCCTGAAGCTATATCACTACCATTATTCACTCACATAGGCATCCTGTTGGCCTACCGGGACCAGACACAGAACTAGGGCCCCTTCAGAGAGGCATAGAGTGCAGGGAATTGTTATGATCACATCACCAGGAAAGCAACACGGCCCCGTAGTGGTAACACTCTTTCTCCCCACTTCATAAACAGTTTGGTTAGGTCCTGGCAAGGGAGGATTGACTAGGTGCCAATCCTTAACTGTTCACCCAGCAGTAAATGGATACCTGGTTGTATACTGACTGGTAGGTCATGTTCCAAGGAAATCTAGTGGATAAAGCTTACCATGAGCTTGCCCATTTTGGACGAGCTCCAGTAGCTCCGTAAATCCTTCCTCCTACCAAGTTAAGCCAGGATTAAGCCGAGACACAACCAGTTGGCATTAGGATATTTTATATCAAGTTTTGAGTGAATCATTTCATCTTGAATGAATCTTTTGGCGAGTCTGTTGATTGTTTCGGTGCTTTGCTTTCATGAACCACACAGTTGTTCATATTGTCTTATCTACTTTCTGGTTGCTTTTCCAGTGAGGGTGATCAGAACAATCCCCTGCTCTCTCTGTGAGCAGGCCAGGTTCTGGCTCTTATTCCCAGTAGGCCAACATATCACCTATGACTGATGTGACTGAGTAATGGTAAGCTATCTCGGTAACAAAGCTTTAGGGAGCCATAGGGGCTCACCCAGTAAGGGACATTTAATTATGTTCTTTTGGTCAGAATTGGAACTTGGTTTACTTTATAGGTATTACTGGTATTAACCCCATCAGCCATTGCTGTGTCTAGTTAATGAAATTAATTAGCCGCCTTGCTGCAAAAATGATAATATAATAAGAATGGGAGGCTGTATAAAGGATATTACTGTAAACTCTGTAATCTGATTCATATGAGGCCCACTCCCATTCAAGTTACCCAACTTTTTTACCGGGAACATCAAAAAATTTAAAAATCCAAATTTATTTGGGTTTTTCATTCAGTACAACCTATTAACCTGAAATCCTATTCAAGGTTAAAAGTCAGAATGGGTAAAAAAACTAATGTGAATTCATTCGGATTATTCCGAGATTTGGGTTACTGAAATCTGAACTATTGAGCTCTTACAGTAGTACTGCTTATGTACTGTTTTAATATGCCCTGCCCGAAACGCTTTGCGTAATAGTGGCTTTAGGCATTGTATGTACTAGCTCTATCTATAAAGCCAACAAACTTTGTAAAATCTCTTTATGTATGTACCTTACCTAAATAAAAATTATTATTATTAATTATTATTATTATATATAAAAAATACAGTATATGCAATAAATAATAGGAATAACAACATTTTTAAATTAATTTACAAACACAGTAGAAATAAATAACCCTCACCTTCCAATAGCTTGAATGGTTGCAGCTACAAATTCTTTATCTGAAGATCCTATGTAAGTCTGGAACTCTCGGAGAATGATGGATATATTGGTGTCTGTGGCTAAGTTGGTCAGTACCTGCAGAATAATGCAGTAAAATAGTTTCCAAGGGCTATACACTAAGTAAACTAAGCATTCTTTTTTCATAATTAAAATGTCAAATATAATATTGCAGGTTAGTAGACAACGAGTTACAATAACCAACCCACACACCTTGAATCCTCAGTCATATAGCCAGGAAAATGGAAAACCAAAGCCCAGGAATGTGGAGGAATCCAAGGAGCCTTGAAGCACCCATCAGAAAAGCATTTTGTTACCTTTAATGCAGGTTTTCTGGGAGGGTCTCTAATGGGGTAGAAAAGAGCTGCAAAAAATAACATCTAGAAAATTGGAAGGTAGCACCGAGTTAGCCACCCCAAATCCACACAAGCCCAGTACAGTCCAAGAAATGAGCCACCACTAAACATAAATAAATAAATAATTATAAAAAAAAGGCACCAAACCGGGAGCCACTAAACATAAATGATGCAATGCTGGCCGAACCAACTAAGAATCGCTATAGGATCCCTTCTGAAACCAGCTATCTCATTCCTAGCCAGCAAAGAAGAGTGCTGTAACAGGTAAAAAACACAAAAATTACTCCATGACTAAAAGAGAAAAGCCCTGCTTCTTGAAGAAACAATTCCAAACTGAGGGGAAAACAAATCACCAAGAAGACAAACAAACCTTATCCAAAGACCAGGATGGCTCACGAGGAGAATGTAGGGGTCAGGGTGAAAAAACAACTTGCGAAATGGGCTAACAAAACTGTCAACACCGAATGCAAACCAGCAGAGACTCTGCCAAGGCTGAATAACACGAAGCAACAGTATTTGGCACAAGAAGCCAAGATAAAAATGAGAGGACTTCAGGTATAAACACCAAGGACATGCATCAAAGAAAGAGAATAAGACAGGAGCATTAAAATACTTCACACTGAAATTGTCATCCACACTTCTGTGGAAATAAACATACATGACTTGCAGGGACTTGGCATTGATTGAATTGGGTAGCACTTACCAAGCAGCAAGCACACAGGAAACACCATTAGGAGCCCTCCCAGAATTATACACGGCCAGAATTTACATACTGTTTCAAGGAACACATTTTCATATACAACTGAGATTAGACTTTTAAAGTACAGCATAGTACAGTACTTACATTTCTACATACTGTACAATACTTTACATACCCAACTATATTATAGTGTTGCTGTGATGGTGACAATGGCATAAATGCTGAAGTAAATGAACACAATACATAAGATAAACTATAATGTATATAAATAAAAATGTATATATTTTTGTACCTCTAACTTCAGTGCCTTGATGTGTGTTGGGTCACTGGAGCGGACGAAGAAGCTCTTCAGGTAAGGCTCAAACATATCCTAGGGAGAAAAATTGCTACATAACTGAAATTGTTAACACTCACAGTACTGATATGTATATAAATATTGTGATCTACCATAACAAACAAATAACAGTGAGTTCCTTCATTTCTCTCTCTAAATGGTGACTTGTTAAACTTTAAGCATTTAACCTTAAGAGTTAAATCCATTGCAAACTTAGTCTTATTGAAGTTAATTGAGATGAGTATACTGTACATAATGTACAAAATTCAGGCACTAATTTTCAACATTCAATGGTTAAGTTGAACCATTGAACCAATATAGTGGCAAATGGCCACTATAACATCATTATTTTTTTTTTTTACACAGTACAAAGAATATAATACATAATTGTTTTCATTTATATAAAAATGCATAATACAGTCCAACTAAAACGCAAACTAGAAACAGCCGAACTATAATATAAACCCTGCTGAACTTTTTCAACACAACATTGGATGTAAGAGACTCTGTGGTTAACCATCAGCTTGACCTGTCATATGTATACTTTAACTAAGAAAGGTTAAGATATGCTAAGTCTTGCTGCTAACTAAGATATGCTAAGTCTTGCTGCTAGGAATCTAGTTTTATGTTCAACCTTTTCAGAATAAAATGCTATCTTTGATTTGCCAGCTTTATGATGTTAATTACATTATGTCTTAATATAAAAAAAAAATAATGCCTTACATTATGTACAGTATACCATTTTATAGTGCAGTACAAAACTCCCAGCATCTCCCACTACAGTTTACACTACAGATGCAAGAGAAAACACTTTTCATTTATTTTCACGCTTTCTACAGAAATTTAGATTCAGCCATTCTTCATACATACCAAGCTCTCACCTGTGCTGCTAACATATATTTAAGTACGAAAAGGATATCTACAATTGCACCCCAAAATCCTAGAGAGAAAACTACTCACACCTTCATCAATTGTGGATAAAACCCATCTCATACTTAGAAACAAAATTATGTAATACAGCAGTTATCCATCTGTTCAATTATACCTAGCCACAAGTATTCTACATCAAGTTCTATGCATCAAGTTGCATTTTTTCAAGTACTGTACCACTAAAACATTAACATAAGTAATTACACCAACTTACTGTTTTCCAGTAATTTTCATAATATGAAAGAGGTAATAAGTGGATGATTATTGGTGGTGGGAGAGAGCAAGGGCAGCAGTGAGGAGTCAGGTTCACATGAAAAATAACACTTATGCTGGGATTGCTATTTTTCTCATGTCGGGTTTCTCCACTATATACACTATACTATGGTACTAAGGATATTAGTACCATAGTACTAATACCTGTAGTACCATAGTACCATTAGTACTACAGGTATTAGTACAGTGTACTTGAGTAAGATACAAACATGGCATTATTTTGTATTTGCCCTGAGAGCAAGGGCAATATTTGTCATGCATTACACACAGTCCAAGCAATATCTATAACCATATTCTTTGATCTTACAATTTAAATTTAAATAATTTTTATACATAAGGCTTTCTGTACTTGTCATGAAGACTATCTCGAGAATGAATTCTAAAAAAGTCAAAACTTCATCACTTTGGGTCACTGCTCATTACCATGATAAATATTTTGTCCATACAGCTCTGAATTTCATTTTAATTTGGTTTTGGGTTTGCATTGATGGGAACAGGAAACCTGTTAGGTTTATCAAGTTTCCCCCTCCCCCCTTTTCCCCTAGTAAAATGGCAAAGCTGTCTTCATAAGTCATCTAAGCAGTGGCATTTAACTCAGTATCATGCACATCATCTGCTGTGATGGTCCCCAGTGAGTGACCCTACCCCAGGATGCAACCCACATATTTACCAAGTGAACTGAAGCATCTGATGTAAGCAAATACCCATACAGTATGTCCAAGTGTCTCACCAAACCAAAGAATCAAACAATTTGGTTGCAAGCTGACTACAGTTGACATTTGGCTGAAGGTTTTGATATTCATTAGTAATAAACTGTAAGAACAATTCGGTGCCTTGACTTTTCATGCCAGTGACAAAAATGTGTGGGAGAGTTAAAACTCTACAAAGATTCAAAGAGTGATATAACTAAAATCTACAAATAACTACTGTATTATATCACATCATTAAAGCTTAAAAGGTTTTGAATATTAGACACACACTTCCATTACACAAGCTAATGTTACTTGCCTCTCGGGCATGCATTAAATGAACTTGTATAGATTATAATTTTTGACAGCATGCATACCAGCAAGCATTATATTTACAGTACTAAGAATATGTATATATTTTCAGATACTTTTAACTCTTTACTTGTCTTGTGTTTTCATAGTGGTAAACTTGAAAAAACCTCATGTACAAACTGAGCTTTAAGCATTAACTTATAAATGGCAGATTAAGCCCTGTCTAGCATTTACTATATGCCAGAAAAAAAACTTTTAAATCATAAAATGGAAGATTTAAATACAAAAGTGAATAAAACAAAAACATGATTACTTACCTTTGTACTGGTCTCAAGAATTGTTTAATCTAGAGTAAGGTAGGGGTTCTGACTCGTCTGTCAACACTTGTATGCAATGTTACTAACGCAAGAGATATATGAAGATGGAGAATGTTCCTTTGACTCTTTCATTCATATACATACAAACACAGTATTACACAAAATGTAAATTAAACACTATAATGAAAAGAACTACTCTACTGCACATACAGTATTTACAAACAAGTCCATTATTTTCCCGAATGGTGTCCCCTAGCACCCATGTGCCGTAACCCAGCACCTGCATGCTATGACTTGTCACCCAAATGCAGCCCGACACCCCTGTCCTGTCCCTGGCACATGTGTGCTGTTCCCCCTCTCGGCACCCACATGCTGCCCCCCGGCACCCAGAATGTCAGTAGGACTTTACAGACAACTGGAGGGTTCACAGAAAACCAAGCCTTGAAACTGCCAAACAACTCTGCAAATGATTCACACAGAACAAGGAATTCACTCAAAACTAGCTTGTAATTCATTTTACCACCAATTATCACCCCAAGATGGCCCAGTCCCAGCCCACAGCTGACTCCTCTGACCAGCTAGTCCTGGAGCATATGTACAACTCACCAATGAACTTGGAGGGAGGGAATCAGGGAGCCACCCGGGCTCCTCCAGAAAAAGGCATTTCATTACATTTAATGCATGGTTTCTGAGGGAGCCCCATAGGGAGCCCCCTGAAGCTAACTAACCATAAAGAACACAGATGGGACTCACCAGGGAGGAGGAAAGGCTGCAGGCACTAGGACAAATAAGAGAACCCAGGTCAGGAGATGACCAAAGCAACACATGACCAACTAGGACCAGGAACATTGACTAAATACTGGACTGCCAGAACCCTGTTAGAATGCCACAACCCCTAGGCCTGAATATTAGCCCAGGACATCTTTAAGAAGACTGTGGCCAAAGCCCTGTATTTGTTAACCTTATGGGCCTGAGGGTAGACCAAAGACTAGCTAGATTTGATGGCAATGCTTAAAATTTTTAGGCAATCCCAATAATTTAGATGTTTTATCGAGTGGACTTTAATGGTAAAGGATCTCTACACGCTCTTCAGGTCAGTTATTTCTCCATCTCTGAATGGAGCTGTTAGTGTGCAACAATATTCTTCTCTAGAGCACTAATATCTTCAAAAGATATGAAATGGCAATTAATAGGCGAGCCCTGGTAGCTCCCTGAAGGGACTATCACTGTGTACCATCTACTAGGTAGCATCAGATGATCAATATACCATGAATAACTAACCTGAGCAAACCTAGCATGCAAAATGGCAGCTGCCTGAAAAGCTTCCAAACTCAAAGGTAAATCACTAAGTTCAGAGACCCAGTGAGAACACATCAAGAGATCAGCAACCCAGCAAACTGAAGGAGAAAAAATTATTGTTGTCAAATAGCAAACATAAACACCCTTCAAGGTCGCATTCAGTGAGCATGAATTTCCACGCATTCACGTGGTGCATTATGGGCTGATCCATAATGCACCACGTCAGTGGTGCATTAATGTAAATCTCTTATTCTGTCCAAGTCTTTTGCAGAATTGTTGGAGAGTTTCAAGGCTTCATTATCTACGAACCCATCAAATATCTGAAAAGCTTCACTAATTTTCTGGAAGCTTCTCCCAATAGGGTAGCGAATTGTCACTCGCTCCCTGTGCCTCTGTGAGATGGTGGGGGGGGGGGCAGTTTCCGACTGGTCCCTGGTAGGTCAAATATAACTTCTGCGACTGATGTGACCTTTTAGTATGGGGCAATCTTGGGAAGATATCTTCAGGAAGCCACCAGGGGGTTTCCCCCAGGAAAGAAAAGTTAAATCAGCAATTTTAAATACAGTACAAGCTTTAAGTTATATACAACTCCAAAGTCATGCTTGAAATAGCATGAATGAATTAAAAACATCTGGAATTATTTGGAAAGTGGTTTCTTTTAATAGAATATAACCCAGGTATACCTGAAATAAAGCCCTACATTCAAAACTCACTTTAACCTTAAAATATTCATGACATTCTCAAAAGTGTGGATGAGGAGTGGAGGTAAATTAGTTCTTTCGTTTTCAGAATACTAATACTGTAATGGTTTTGTATTGGGCTTGCTTTACACACTCATACAGACACCATTGGCTCTCATGCACTCAGTTCAGTAGACACATCTGTCATTATAGATGTCTGCAAGTGTGGCTAAGAGTAAAGTTTCGTCACAGCTGTGCATGTGTTCAACAGTAAAATGCAAAGCTATATTCAAAGGTGTTTCTGAGTATCTAGCTGCACTGCTAACAATAATGTGCCACGCTTTTCAATAAAGATCAATATACGCAATCTTACTTCTGTGCAGACAGAACAATGTATAAAACAATACTTTCTTTTTCCGCGTTACTTGCATTGGCCTGTAAAAGGAAGGTAAAAACAAAATACAATAATTATTGAAAATTAGAAAAATTATGGCAAACTGTATTAACAAAATTTATTCCAGGTTAAAAATTTTGATAATCATTATTTTTTTAAGGGTTCTTCTAGTTGTGTATTCTTTAAATTTAATATGCATCTCACACACACTTATTTACTAACTCAGTAGTCACACTTCAAACTTATATGACACATTTTTAACAACAAAAGCATCAGTACTATTAATGAGATTAAGTTCATGCAACGAATACCTTCATAACAGCTACATAAACACAATTTTTACAAGCACACAGAAAGAATGAGACATTTATAAAAGGATGGGGAAGTTACAAAAGAATAATAAAATGAAACAAGTAATTAATGCATATGAATAAAAGAAACACGGGAATTTATGTAGCATCAAGATGAGATAATCAATGACAAAAATCCAGCATTGAATGTAATGAAACACCTCTTTGGCAGAGCCCCAGCAGCTCCCTGAAGCCAAGATGGCTCCCCACTACTAGGTCACACCAGGCACTACTATTTGGCCTACAGGGAACTACAGTTAGAATTGGGTTCCTTCAAAGAGGCACACAGAGCAGGGGACTATTTTTGTCACCCTCACTGGGAAAGCATTCAAAAAGCCGGTGAAGCTTTATAGACAATTGCAAGGTTCATAAAAAAAAATCAAAACAGCCAAACGAATCCACAAACTATAGAGGCAAAGCAAATGAATCACTCAAAACTAGTAATGATAGACATCACCAGGCAGCCCCCAGACACACACAAACACTGGAAGACAGAAGAGTAAGGGAAGACATGATCACTACCTACAAAATCTTCAGGGGTATTAACAGGGTAGACAAGGATAAACGATTCAACACTGGTGATACGCGAACAAGGGGACACAGGTGGAAACCGAGTACCCAAATGAGTCACAGGGACATTAGAAATAACTTTTTCAGTGTTAGAGTAGTTAACAGGTGGAATGCATTAGACAGTGATGTGGTGGAGGCTGACTCCATACACAGTTTTAAATGTAGATATGATAGAGCCCAGTAGGCTCAGGAAACTGTACACCAGTTGATTGACAGTTGAGAGGCGGGACCAAAGAGCCAAAGCTCAACCCCGCAAGCACAAATAGGTGAGTACGTACACACACACACACACACACACACACACACACACACACACACACACACACACACACACACACACACACACACACACACACACACACACACACACACATATATATATATATATCCCCCAGGAAGTGGCCCATAGCAGCTGTAACTTCCAGGTACCTATTTACTGCTAGGTGAACATCAGGGTGAAAGAAACTCTGCCCATTTTTTTCCCGCCTCCGCCAGGGATCAAACCTGGACCCTTGGGACTTCAAAACCTGAGCACTGTCCACTCAGCTGTCAGGGCCCCTCAGCCATCAGGAATATATTATATTCAACACTGGTTTTCTGTGAGGAACCGCTTGGTTGCAACTTTATGCTGACCACAGAGAACACAAAAACAAGAGACTTATCAGGGAGGAGACAGCAGGTACTACTCCGAAGAAACCACTGGCAGGTAACCCAGCCCGATGGTCACAAGACCATCAAAGCCCAACAACATGGACCTAACAACATGCCAGGACCCTGTTAAAACTCCAAAACTTCCAAGCCCAAAAATCAGCATATGACATGGTTGTAAAACTCACAGCCAATGCTGCATTCTTAGGAACACCAAGTGCAGAGCAACACTTGGCGAGCACCCATGGAAGAGTCACGGTGAGCACATGCATATTTTACACAGCTGCAAGATCCATGTAAAATTGCCAGGAAGGAAACACACGCATGAAGCAAATATTGAAAGAAAAGAACAATACGCAAGCAAGTGGCCTCTGCAGGAGAAAATCTAACAGATGGCTGGCACTTAGCCGAGAATAGGTGAAACCCACTGATGGATGCGAAAAGCATACTACAGATGGTGTCAACCACATTAGTGAGAGGATTTACCATCAAAGCTGACTGTGGGTCAGGGCTCTAGGCTGTCTGGTGGTTGCTCCTGGTTCTATTGAGTCCGAGCTAGTATCGAGTGAACAAACTGTTTAGTCCGAATTGCTTGCAGAGTTGTTTAACCACTTCATTGCATCATTTGTTGTGAACCTTGCAGTTGCCTGTAAAGCTTCTTTAACTTTCCGGATGTTTTCCCGGTAAGAGTGATAATAATAGTTCCCCCTGTTCCTTGTGCCTGAGGTAGGAAAGGGGGGAAGGTCAGGTTCTTGTCCTGGTCTCCAGTAAGCCAACAGGACTCCTGCGACTGATGTGGCCCAGTAGTAGAAAACCATCTCAAGCAAGCCACCAAGAGGCTCCTCCTAGAAATGACTGGTTCATCAAGCTATTATATAATTTATTACACACAAGAAAGCATTGATAAAACTTAGTGACAATCCCAGCAATTGTGTAATGCAAACATATCTTGCACATCAATAAACCGTTGGTACTCTAAATGTAACACAATAACAGAGGCATACCTTCCGTCGAGTAGACATTGAAGCAATGTTTGTGAGAACAACAGCTTGAACCTCTCGGTGTGAGCGTAACAGTCGCACCAAAGCCCGTGCAACCTGAGAAACTTCTGAACGTGGTGCAATATGCTGGTACAGCTGAGCTACTGCCAGTACCACCTACAAATATAAACACCGAGTTTTACCACAAGCCAATTCATAAAATTACATTATTTTAACATATGATAAATAATACAGGGTAATTAATTGAATGTTAGATTATCAAGTATGAAGGGAATATAAAATTAATACAAGACCCCAAGGTAAATAGTCAAGACATGCATCAGAAGCACAAATAATTAAAACCTAAAGCCTTAACAATAGTTATATTATTCCAGTTCTACTGTATGATGAATTTGTTTTAATTCTGGATTCAAAAAAATTTAAAATTTCCTAAATTTCATAATTTTTAATTTTTTTATCCAAACGACAAAGTCCATTTTATGGATTATGTCAAGCAAATGAGGTATGTGTGCGGTACAGCACACTCTTGCCTGTTTACATGCACAATACAGTATAAACACTCAAGTTTTTAAGGGTAATGGTATTAAAAATATAACATGTATTTTACTTATCTTTTCATTACACAGCCTTATCCTTGTAACTTACAGCAAAACTTTGCAATAATGTCAAGGATATTATCCAAGATAAAACTAAACATATAATTAGATAACTTGCTTATTCAAAAGCACAGTACAGTACTGTACAAGAGTAAATTAATCATAAAAATTGAAGATGCATTTTTTTGGAAAACAATGAAGTTAAAATATAACCTAAATCATAACAATATAGATATTGATGTTAGGTGACAGGACACTTCTGACACTTGGGTGACAGGACACTTCAATGCCACTAGCACTGCTTGATAGACCTTTCAAACTTGACTCTCGATTAGTTGCAAGAACTGCAATGTTTCAGTCTCTCTCTGCTGCTACTTCTTGAAATGGGAGATTTTACCCAAAATCTAGACATTCTCCAGTCTTTAACCACTACTTTCACTCGGGTAAGCCTTCTTCATAACTCCGAACTTTGAATACAGACAAGGAATACAGCATCATCATTTATATGTTTTGTAGATATTGTTCAAGTAGACAATAAGCAAAACAAAATAACTGTTCTTGAAAGAGAGAAAATTGGTGATGAATGTACAGATTGCATGTACTGTAACCAGCATGATGCAGGAATATGAACACATTTCAGCACACTTTATGATACAATACACCACACACACACAAAAACCTGTGTTGAATGTAATGGAATGCCTCCTCCTGGAAGAGTCTCTGTGACTCCCTCAAGCTATCATGCTAAGATGACTGCCCCTACCGAGTCACATTAGTCCTCTTAGACCTTCCAAGTCCCTGGAAGAACCTGGCCCCCCCCCCCCTTTCCCAAAAAAACCATATAAAGAAAGCATCCAGAAAGTACGCAAAGTAACACACAGCTGAAAGGTTCACATAAAACGAAGCACCAAAACAGCCAAATGACTCAACAAATGATTCTTTCAAACCAAAATTATTCACTCAAACCTAGCACAAACCTCCTACTGTCAATGGTCACCAACAGTAGGTGCTCCAGGAGCTCCAGGCTCCTGTTCCAGCAATTAGCTAGATCGGAGCCAAGAAACCATGAATCGATGCACCTAGTAAATGGGGAGGGAACCAGGGAGCTAACAAAGCTCTACCAGAAAGAAGCATTTCAGTACATTCAATGCTGGTGTTATGGTGGAGCCTTTGGTGACTTCCTAAAGCTATCCAACAACAGAGAAGATGGAAAACATGGAACTTAATCTGGAGGAAGGAGCATAAAAAATAAAAAAAATAAAAAATGAAATATACAAATTTTTATATTTATAAAAATAAATAAAATATTAGATAAATATTAGACAATTTTCTTTTGGAAACAGCGGTAGACAGTTGGAACAAGCTAAGTGAGGTGGTGGAGGTCAAAACCATCAGTAGTTTCAAACCGTTGTACGGCAAAGAGTACTGGGAAGACGGGACACCACGAGCGTAGCTCTCGTCCTGTAACTACACTTAGGTAATTATTAACAAACCATACTAACGAATTTCTGGCTGGTCCAAAATGTGTGCGTTTGTAATAATTTGTTTAGTGGAATAAATTAATGTTCATTTCAGTGAGGATAGGTCGCCTAAGCTGCTGCAGAGTCTGTCCATAGGGATGTGGCCATGTAAGCAGCTAATTTAATCTAATTATGAATTATTATACAGTACACGAGTAGAATTAGTCTAACAATGGACAAGCAATATTTATGTATCAACAATGGACAAGCAATATTTATGTATCACCAAAGACTAATAAATACCATTATAACAGCAATAAATCTGTAGCAGTCACTAACATGATTGTGGACTATCTCTGGCACAAGGAAACAAGAACTAAATATTTATTGTAAAGGTTGTGTAGATGGAAAAAATGAAACAGAGGGAAAGAACCAAATGGTTGTTTCGACTGTTGACAATAAAGCAACATACTGCAGCATTGCGACTCTGCAGCAGTGGCTTGGCATTCCTGAGCAGGAGTCGATGGTCAGGATCCATAGGCTTGGGCCTGTTAGCAACAGCCTCGTGATCTTCAATCTCCTCTTCGTCCTCATAAAATGGTTTCTCCTTGTCATCAGCTTCATTCTGTATAGTAAGGAAACCAACAATTTATCTTTTGCAATCAGCATCTTTCATATAGCAGATCACAAATAAAATTTGATTTAATATTACAATTCATTAACAATGTTAAGAAAATACTCTCAATGTATCTGCTAGATATATTTTGATCGTAGCCAATTCAAGAAGTTTCCCCAATCTGTCAAATTACTACGTGGTACTGTATTATATTATACTGCTCTTGAGAAATTTATGTTCGCATCAATGAACAGTACTGTATAAACTGAACTCAAACCTTTGTGAATTAATTTGTCTATTTTAATTTTTGTTTGCAAATTATGTACTGCATTCTTAACTAAGTTTAAGATTAATAAAGAGCACTCACGCCAACATTAGGGTCAACAAACTGAGTACGAGCATATCGAGTCAACATGTTGATGATGATGACTTGTCCCCACTCCTCAACATCCACGAGCAAGTTGCATAGCTTTCGGTAATTTTTGTGGATTAAATCAATTCGTTCTGGGCACACCTGTAAATGATAATACAAATATATTATGAATTACAGCAACAATAAAAATTCCTGAATTGAAAAAAAAGTACTTGAACATTGTACTACTGAACATGTGAACTGCACTTTCGTGAAAAAAGGCAATATTTTTTCCTAATTTTTATTGTTAATGTAAAGAATACCTGCCATGTATTAAAAATGCTGCATTTTCCCAGTTACTGTACTCGTACATGGTTGATATTTCCCACTGATGCAGCAAAGATATTTTTCCCACTGTGTAATGGTGCAAGGGAGAGGCTGGACAATTCTCAAACCAGCCAGAAATGACCTTGAGAAGACCTATTCAACTACTGTACAATACATCCAAAATTATTGCAAGTACTATATGGCATCGAAACAACCACTAAAGATACTGAAAATTTACCAGTTGGCCTGACTGGCTGCTACCCCAAGCAGCCACTAGGTTTCAGCACCTACATGTCAACAAGGCAGCCAGGCTCTGCCAATCTCATTTCATCTGACTAGAGCTAATATGACATCTTGGGGAAAGTCAGTACAAAATGAAGGGAATGGAAGTTACTGAGTGCCTGCTCAAAAATGAACTTGATATCTACACTTAAATCCCTATTTCAGAGTTTTACCACCTGGTTGCTTCTTTAAGCTAGAATACCTGTGGCATAATGTATTTTCCCCATTATATTCCACCTGGCCTGTTTGTTATGTAATCAGGGCAATGCTCTCGATATGCACACTATATATTCAGTTACTAAAAATTATGTACTCAATATTATGTGTAGGCAGTTCAAGTAATACCTGTACGTGAACCTAACCCAGCTTCATGAAAATATTTGACCAACAAACCCCTATACAAAGACATCCACCAAGAAATTTCCATTTACACCTGGCATGTTCCACTTTCCAACACTGCTTCTGTATTCACTCTCTTCCAAAGCATTCATATCCCCCCCCCCACACACACAGTACAATAACTTTCCTATCATACTGTAGCTTCTCCATACAATCATTCAATTGATTGTAGAACCTCTTCCATCTCATTCTTTAACATTCTCCTTACACAATGGTATTTATGTCTTCTGCCTGTACATCTCTCTCAAACTATTTTACACCCAGTCCTACATTTTTTGAAATACAACACTCATACCTTCTTACACACACCTACATTCTGACAGTAATGCTTCAGTTATGTCAAACTATAATTACAAAATCTTTACATCATCACATTGAAGTGCACGTTGCACTCGTTAATAACACTATATTTCACAGTATATGGTGTACAGATTAATAATTTGATGTAACCAAATTCTTGGTCATAAAACAATTTCCCCAGCACGTTCTTAACAATATTCTGTGCTCTATGGTTTGATACAAAGACTTTTCTCTAAGAATCCCTTCTATAGTATCAGATGATAACTGTAAATGAACATAAGAACATTCAAGGGTTTAAGCCATTTTGATAATAAAAATATTGGTACAGGGTAAAAAGCCCCTTAAGAAATCACAGCACTGAACTGAAGAAAAAAAAATTCAACATTTTCCCTAAAGAATTAACAAACCTCCTCAAATGCCATCACAGCTGATCCAACAACTAATGTAGTCTTGTCTGATAGGAGCTTTTCTATTACTTTTATTAGTTCTTCTTTCTGATCAGGGTCAAGGCTGAAAAAAATGCACAAATATAAGGATTAAGGAGCAATAGGAATGGAAGACAAATGAGCCAATATAAAACCTACATGTAAACTACATGCATTTTTTTTTTTAAGTTTCCATGATCTGGAATGTATTTTAACAATATTTAAAAGAAATTTTTTTTTTTTAATTAATTTTTTGGATGGGGGGCATCACAGGAGTATCACATGTAACAGGTGCACAGTGCAAAGATTAAGACTTTACTGTAACCACTTTATAATTACTGTAGTAATTATAAAATTGTAATTGTAGTATTTTCTTAAAAATTCAAACATCTTTAATTACAACACATTTTTTAAGACATGAAAGTAAGGCTAAACATGTCAAAATTCTTCAATAACTCTTACTTGTAAAGTTTTGGAATAGCGTGTGCAGCAGTCTTTCGTACATATGGGGACATGTCAGTCATAGCATCTTTTATGGCCAGCATCATTATTGGCACAATAACGGGAACTCTGATACTTGACAATACACGTAGAGCACAAGCCCGAATCAGTTGGTTGGGATCCTGAAAGATAAGATTTTAACTTCATACCATCAATTAATTTATACTTATCTAGATCCCCTCTTGCAACCTAGCCTAATATTAAACTTTCACAGAGTTTACCTGCCCAGCCATGTCTAAATTCCACAACAAAGTACAGGGGGTTCCTGACTTACAATGGGTATGTATTCCTAATTTTTCAGTTGTAAATCAATCAGTAAGAACTCTGATCATCATTTTCTATGGGTGAAATGCTAGAAATGGAAGAAAGTTAGTAAAGCAAAACAAATTTGCATATCACATACAAGTGTGTGATATTTCTAATTATCATTCATTAGATAATTTGTTTTTGTTGCAGGGTTCATTATGATAATTTGTAATTTACTTTCTAGGGGAGCCCCTGGTGGCTTCCTGCAGCTATCTCATAGTCAAAACCTGCCCTCATTCCCCTCACAGAGGGACATGGTAATAATTTACTACTAAACTGGAAAAGCATTCAAAATGTCAGTGAAGCTTTTACAGACAATTGCAGGGTTAACAACGACTGAAGCATCAAACCCATCAAACTCTGCAAATGACACACACAAAATAAGATAAATATTGAAAATTAGTGTGAAACTCATGGTACCCAATGCCACCACCAGGTGGCCTGGCTACCACACACAGCCATCTTTCCTAATCAGTTCTTTTGCTGATGTCCAACTGGACAGTAGTGTCCCGGGCATTCAGATGTATGAAGCCCCTCTCCTTCAAGCCAAGACAAAGTCTAAAGATGGCCTTAGTCTTAATGTCCAAACCACACATCAGAAAATGAAGTAATGATGATGTTTTGGTCCAACTGTGTAATGGTCTATCAAGTCGTGTAATGGAAAGAGAATGGATGAAATAAACAATATGAAAGAAGAGAACGAGATGAAAGATGGGATGAATAAGAGAGGAAAAGATAAAAGGTAAGAACATGATGAAAAAAGGATGAGAGAAAAATAGGAAGAAAGGTATGAATTTGATGAAAGAAAGGAATAAGAAAATAATGGTAAGAAAAGAGAAAGAGGTAAGAATGAAGAGAATCAAGGAAAGTAAAGGAAAAACTCCCTATGATGTTTAGGGACCCAGAATTGGAGATGTTGGTGACCACCATCTGGACTAAGTCTGCTTTTACTCTTCCTTTTCCTGTGGGTGTGGTTCATCCTGCATCCCTTGGAGCCAGAACCTTCCCTGGTTCTGGCTCCAAATCATCAGAGGGTTTCAGTGTTGGGGCAGGGTTTAGTTCGACTTTCTCCACGGGTAACCCTATCCACATCGACAGAAAAAGTTAGTCGAACCTTCTGGTCCTGCCGGGGCTTTGGGTAATCAATCTTAACAACCAGCATCCCACCCCGAGTCATGAGTGGATTCTAGCAGTAAAAGATCTCTGCACACTCTCCAGGTCAGCAATTTCTACAGTTTTGAAAGGGGCTGTTATTGTGCAACATACTGCCTATGGCAACTTCAAAATCAAGTAGAGTTAGGGTGACATCTGAGATAAAGCACACTATCTCCAACAGTGTTCTCTGAGGCTATGGTTTCCATAGGACCCAAAGCCTCAGAGAAGGAAATAAACAGCAGAGAAAAACTTGTTGTTTGACTAAATACATGTGAGCATTTGCTTCTATAATATATACACACAAGAGGATAAGCAGAGTGACTATATTTAATATTCAAACATTTCAATAAGGAGTAGAGCCATCAGACTACAAGTGTCTTAAATCTCTCTCCTCTAGGGCACAGAACATACTGAAAAAGAAAAAACTAATTCCTGCATTTTTATAGTTACACCACCATCCTTATAACAGGAAAATATATATATTACAGTAGTTAAAAAGATTCCAACATGCACACACAAGCAAATGTTTTAAGGCAAAGGGTTCTATTAACAAAGAGCATTGGTACAAACCTTAAGGGCTCTTTGAAAAGTGGAGATTGACAATAAAGCCAGATCTTGCTGTTCTTCAGCATATCGTACCAAATAAACATATACTAGCTTCTTCACTTCGAGGTTAGCACTGACAACATTCTTCACAACAGCAGGAAACAACTCTGAAGCATCTCTTCCCTTTGCTACCATCTGAAAGGATCGTCATAATGAGTTAATCTATAATATAAGAGTATGTGCCTGGTCACCAGATTTCTTGTTCCTTACTGCAGTAGGAGAAAAAAAACCTAGGAACCAATGTCTAAGTATTTGTCGATCAATAACCTAAATCAGTTACCTGGATGAAGGCAAGAGTTGCTATGGCAAGTGAGATCCAATTCTTGCAAGCAAATTTGTTGGGATGTTCAAGTTACCTTAGGTACTTAATTGTTTAATAGTCTCCCCCTTAATTAGCTAGCTTTCAGTTTGGATCTGCCCTATACTCCTGGGCTTTTGCTGTTAATCAAGAATTAGTTGATGCTTTATTGTGACTGGGAACAGTTAATTTTCACTCTGCCTTTAATTCATTACCGTTAGGTTGAACAAGTTAGTTCATGTGTATTTTTTTTTTTTTTACCTTCACTTGCCATTCTCCCCATTTTTGTTTGTTTAGTGCTTCGTATTGTTTCTTCTACACTCTTCTGCTTCTCATTCTATTGTTCAACACTTAATTCAACACTACACTCTTAATTGTTCATCATTCTTAACTCTTAAATGATGCAATTGATAATGACAGCTTGTGACCATGTATGCATTTCAAAAATAATTATAAAATATACAGTATATATTTAAATTTTTCTTATTTCCAAACCAATTAGGTTAAAATGAAAAATTCAATGTTTATTTTGTCATATCAAGTCCTGAAATTTGGATATAAATGTTTCCCCATAATTTTAAGTATTATATAAGATTCAAGGGAAATCAAACATTTTATGGTAAACTAAAAAATATCACAAATTATCAATTTTTTACATGTTTGTAGACAACCTTTTCCATATGCTCAAAAATTAATTCATATAATTAATATCTTACATCATAACAAGGTCCGTTTCTCTCTGACAATAAAAGCCAAAGAAACGACAAATCTTCATAATTACAGTACAGTACTGTATATGAATTTTAGTGCAGAACACAATTTTAACACGTTTCAAAAGTAACAATCAGAGGACATATACCATTTATGTCATATGATAATGTAACATAATGTGATGTCAGCTGTCATCTAATGGTTAATACTACATGAATCTTCTCTATAACATGACATCAGCTAACACCTTTAATAATCTGGAGCTTCTGAAATGGAGACATACTAACCCCAATTATTCTTTTCATGGCCTCCAACTTGAGACCATCCTTATTGCTGTCAAGCATCTGTTTGAGGTCTTCATGTCTGAAAAGAAAACATTTCTGAGGGTGACAGAATTATATAAACAAAAATCTATCAGACTGTATATATACTGTATTTTTAACACCATAAGCAGCTAAATAATAATTTAAAATTAGATATGCCAACAAAATGTACCCTCAGCAAAAATTAAACAAGACCCTAACAGTATAAAACCATTTGAATATTAGACATTTACCAGACCAGCGCTCTGGCCACTGAGCTCTGAAGGCCTGAAACGCTATGCGTGTTAGTGGCTTTGCAAGAATGTAAAAATACCAATACAGTATCACCACTATGTGATGGAGTGCAAAACGATATGTGAATTCAGAGACAATTCTATAACCAATGTTCCAACAACGTGTAAATATTTCATTCAAAATGATCTGCTACCAGAAATTTTAGCCAAATATCCCCAGTTTGCTAACTGTAGGTAGTAACTAAGTGATTGTAACCTATCCACCGCTGCCCAATGGATGGTGAGCGGTATGCAGGACAAACATATCAATTGTGACACTAGCTCTCCACATATGTCAGTTGCTTAATTTAGAACCTGTACTCGAGGTCGATCTCGAACCCATTGATGATGTGACGACTTATACTGAATTTTGTAACTAACTCATCAAGATTGTAACTTGCTTAGCTAAATGAATTGTGCGGTTCAGTCCCTGAGCCCATTATGTGCCTCTGTAACCCTTTCCACTACCGCCCACAAGATGGGGTATGGGGTGCATAATAAATGAACTAAACTAACTAATTCATGTATTCTCACAAACCCATTGTACCACATTATCCATAAATAAATAAATAAAGGCCCCCATAGGCAGAATTAACCCTATAGGCAGAATTAAGGCCGCCCCAAAACATACTTCTTGAACTCGGTGCTGAAGAAACTGCCAGAGGCAGGATCAGCAGAATAGTCTACGTCAATGGAGGGCGGACGCTCGTTGCTGTAGGAGGCTGTAGTAGACATTGTAGAGGGCGGGGTGGTGCAGGGGCAAGGCAGGGCAGGGGCTGGAGGGCACTGTAGCAGAGGGCAGGGCGGCCTGGGTCACCAGCTGACTGGTCACCACAACAACAGCAGCAGCTGATGATGTGTCTGGTCACTCCCGCCTGTCATCTCCCGCCTCTCACACTCGCCAATCACAACCCGCCCTCACGCCTCTCCACACAAGCTGTGTTTCTATTGGTGCTTGCCAACTGTGAGACCACTATGATTTATGTTTTCACTGTTGTCATTAGTCAATGATAATTTATCTCCCCTAATTCCATGTATTACTAACTCTCCTCTGAGATGGGAATATTGCTGCCCAATAAACTCGCCCCTCGGGGCAAAATTAACAAAAAAAATTTTAGTTTCTTCAAGATGATCCTTACAAACATCTTGCACGTGCATGACACGAGACTGATAGGTCTCTAAATGCCAGAGTCCTTTGGTTTATTCATTGTGTCGGGGGGACAGGAAGCCAGCGTGTATTTATACATGTTTGGCATATATCAAATTCCACCCCCCCCCCCCCCCGCCAAGGTTGACTTACTGACCCCGCCCAGTACAGCCTCACAACAAGCTGACTTAACTCTAGGTTAATCGAAATCCTCAGATTAGGCAAAATTGTAATTAATTTTGTCAATAAAAAATGTTAATAATAATAATTGGGTACCTACTTGCTGCTAGGTGAACAATGGCATTAGGTGAAAGGAAATGTGCCCAACCATTTCTGTTCCACCTCGGATTCGAACCTGGAATTCTCAATTGTGAGTCGAGAACAAATCCTACTATACTGTATGTTTATTATTACCTTCAAATCTATATAATTTATAATTGAAGTTATTAATAAAAATTATATCGCCATAGTATGTTTGAATCACCAAGACGAAAAAGCTAGTGTTACAAAACTTTTTGTCTTGGTAATTCAAACACACTATGACAATAAAAGTTTATTACTAAATTATTAATAACTTTAATTAAAATTTTATAAATTTGAAGGTTATAAACATAGGTGAAAGTTTTACCCTTGGTAAAATAGCCTAACATCATTAACATGTTAAGTTAATAATGCACAGTACTTGCTGAATTAAAATGTAGTTTAATGTCATGAGAATAATCTTGTATATTAAACTTGGTAAGTGTAACAAGGGTAAGTTTAATAATGTGTAACTTCCAGAGAGAAATCTAACATTGGTGAAAGTTCTACCTTTAGTTTGGCACTATATCACCACTGTAGCTTCAAGGAGCCACAGGGCACTCCCCCAGAAATTTAATTCTGATAATTAAACATTTAAATTCTAATTTATTTTGTATTAAATATGATTTTGGTCACTTTATTAAAACAATTTAATTCATGGTCAATTTTATTTAATGCAATTTAATTTTGTTACAGTAAAAAAGAGTATTGCCTTATTTATATACAGTATAAGGGCAAAATATCAACCTGTTATACAGGTACAGTATTATGAAATTATCATTCGATGACAGTAAGAAACATTAAACAACTTCAGGAATTATATTTCTTTTTTTGTTTATGGGATGTATAAATCATAATTACTGTACAGCTTTGAAGTACATTATATCCAGAGCTTCATTTACTGCCATCAAATTTCCAATCAGTTCGTTCTTAAATTTGTAATTTGTTTATCAGGAGCTGGCTGTGCAAAAGACATTCACACAAAAAATTACAGTCATCATATAAAACAAATATAAAATATACAAAAATTTTACACTTCTCAAGGTTCAGTGATATGATACATCATATTCCAGACTGTCGAGTTATAAGTTGCATACATCAGCAAAACTCGACACAAATTTATAATTATGCAAAAATAATTTAAACAATCCATTTCATTTGTGTTCTGCCAATGTACCAATCTAAATATATATAATTAAATACTGTACATCTTAATTTACACACACAGTAACAAATGCTGTGTTCATTGAAGAGAGTTCAGAAGTTCACTAATGCCAATCTTAGAACCGATATAAGTCTCTGATTCTTGGCACTCTTGGGGAAACATATTTATTGGCGGTCCTGTAATTACTTGGGTTATGACAGGTGGTGGTTGTTGTAACATCCCTGGCTGTTGCTTAAGATTACGATGCTGCGGGAATGTTGGCATCATTCGTGGATCACATGCTAAAGAAGAAAATTGTGTCTTTATTAACATGAGCAAATATACTGTACTTTTGTATGTTTTAATTTTGTTGGCACATGTTTCATGCCTGCAAACATGTCAGAATATTGTTTACAATAATATATCCTTTCAAATAAATACTTATTACCTTGTATAGTGCTTTATTTAATTTAATATTCATGATGATAATGGTGGTGAAGACAGAGCATTTGAGAGTAAGATAAGGAGAGGAACACCAAGACAGGTAAACATGGCAAGTGTATGAAGAAGTGGGGATTGAGTATGAACAGTAAACAAAAAGAAAGGGAAAAGATGTCTATTGCAGCAGCTTCAGATGTAGTGCAGCATATAACACCCTATAATATCATTAATTCTTTTGGTGCTAAGAACAATAGGTTGTCCCAAGGGAATGGTGCCAATGGTGTCATATGCTACTAGAAAAAGTTTCAAAATTGTATAATAATCACCCAAATCCTCTGATGTTTAAAATGGGAAATGCTACCAGTGGGAGCAGGAAGCCTGTTAAGGTTATCACGTTCCCTCTAGGCCAATTATTGACCTTCCCTAAAAAGCATCCCACAACAGATGCCTAACTCCCAGGCACCTATTTACTGCTAGGTTAATAGAAGAATAAGATGTAAGGAAACCATGCCCAAAACTATCTAGCTTGCTGTGGGAATCAATTGGTTGGGATCTTTTGTGAATCAATTGGTTTGATCAATTGGTTCCCAACCAAGACTTTTTGGTTGGGAACTAACTGTGCTGACCACTGTGCTCTTCCCTATCAAATGTACAACTACCTGTACTCTCAAGAACTATACACTTCTCGTTTAATGGAGCAGTAGGGTGATGCTACAGATGATTTGCTAGTGTGGTGGGGTTAGTTTCTCATGATGCTGTTCAGAATAAAAGAAATGAGTAATGGACTGATGTCACAGTTTTCTTATACTCTAAATATTTTCTATTCTTTGTAAGCTAATGCTTCCCTCACCCATGAAAGTGGGTAAGGTAAATGGGAACTTATGATAATTTAATTGCTATTCTGCCATAACTGAAGACAATAAACTGTTTATTTTCAAATAATAAATAAATATTATACATACGTAATGGGTTTTCTTTGAAGTAGGAGCTCTTAAGACACTCCTCTGCAGTAGCCCGTCTCTTGGGGTCATACATGAAGAGAAAGTTAAGCAGACGTTGTCCTGATGCTGACAGGGCTGGGAATTTGGTTTTCAGATTGTTATATGGTTGAGCTTTCAGTGTAAAGTTCTCAATTGCTGGTAACTGAGAAAATTCTGGCCATATTGTGTCATTTGGCGTACCTGTAACATTAATTATAAGTTAGATGAGTAAGTAAGTAATTATCAAAAGAAGGCACCAAACCGGGAAGGCTATGTAGCACCATCAAATACGCAAAATAATCAGAGGGCGCTAAATATCACCAAGGATGCCAATACGAGGATATCTCTAAATTGGAGAATAGAAATAAACTACCCATTTTTTTGTATTCAATACACAAACATACAGACGGTGTCAATCACGTCTCTCTTTGCCGCCGTTAGCAGACAGTACTCGGTCATAGTTCCTTTATTGTTATTGGGAGAATCTCATGTGGCCCTTATTAAGGAGTTTAACAAGTTCCTACGGAACTTTACTCACAGCCACAGACGAAAGACAGTCGTCTGTAGAAACTGTCTTTCAGAATATTAAAATTCATCAGAGCTATCAAATCACATATCTTCCTGCGACATCACACAGAAAAGTATTTATCCTCAGGCGGGGGACACTCTTCATTTTAAAACTACGGGGAAAGGTTACCCCCCTTCCCATGTGGGGGTATTTTGATTTTGAGTGCGTCCTAAGCACTGAGGATTGTCTAGGTTCTGTTACAGCCATACATAGGCCTATAGCATACAGCTATATAATTGTTGATAGGAACCATACTGTCATTGATAAATTTACTTATTTTGGGGGGGTTGACAGTGTCACACATTTCATGCAGCGAGTTGCTACCAAATGGGAAGTAAGTAATTATCAAAAGAAGGCACAAAACCGGGAAAGCTATGTAGCACCATCAAATACGCAAAATAATCAGAGGGCGCTAAATTTCACCAAGGATGCCAATACGAGAACAAAAACGCATAAGGCGAACGATATCAAAAGTATCCGAGTCACCAAGAATTCTATCGAGGGACAGGTGACCGTGAGGGGCGGTCGGAAAGCAAGACACACGCTCGTCCTGGAAGTCAGGACATTCAAGAAGGACATGCACGACCGTAAGAGGGACAATGCAACTAGGACAATAAGGAGCAGGGCGGCGCTCCATCAAGTGACCATGGGTTAAGCGAGTATGGCCAAGACGCAACCTCGCCAGAGCTGTTTCCCACCGCCGGTTACGGTGGAAGGAGGACGGCCACGAGGAAACACAACATTTAAGAGTACGTAGCTTGTTACCAGTAACAGACAACCAAGAAGCCTGCCAACGGGTAAGGACTGAGGAATGGATAACCGGGTAAAAGTCGGAATACGGAATGCCTTTACGAGAGATGGGACAAGAGCGGACAGCTTCCTTGGCGTCAGCATCCGCACGCTCATTTAAAGACACACCAATATGGCTGGGAACCCAACAAAACTCAACCGACTTAAATTTACTATGAACGAGAAACAGCCAATGCTGGATCTCGACAACCACTGGATGAACTGGATTAAAGGACCCGAGAGCCATGAGGGCACTACGAGAGTCAACAACAACTACAAAGGAAGACTGACAACGAGAAAGTAGGAGACGAAGAGCATAGAGAATAGCATAAAGTTCTGCTGTAAAGATGCTAGTCTCCGGAGGCAAGCGACACATATAAGTGCGATCAGGAAAAACAACAGAGTAGCCAACACCGTCCGCTGACTTAGACCCATCGGTGAAGACAGAAACGGAGCGGGAGTGAGAAGAAAAGTGCTCGAGGAAAAGGCGTTTTAGAACCGTAGGAGGGGTAAAAGCTTTAGTGATACGGGTCAAGGAAGTACAAAACCGCGGAAGAGGGACCCTCCACGGGGGCAAAGAAGGAACAACACGAGGAGAAACATCAGAAATACGAACGGAAAGAGAATCCTGCAGGCGAGATAACCGGACAGAAAGAGGGAGGTGGTGAAGAGGAACAGGAACCGCAGGAGGGGTAAAAGTTAAAGCACGACAGAGGCGAGAGGAAGGATGTTGCAAGGACCGCGCAAGATAGCGAAGACAGTAGCGATCACGGCGGTCCTGGAGAGACAGGAAGCCAGTGTCAACATACAAGCTAAGGACGGGAGTCGAACGAAAGGCACCAGAACTGAGGCGCAACCCAGTATGGTGCAAAGCATCAAGACGGCGAAGAGTAGAAGGAGAAGCAGACGAGTAAGCAGGGCAACCATAATCGAGCTTAGACAGGACGAGAGAAGAATGTAAAGCAAGGAGAGTGCGCCTATCTGCCCCCCAAGAAGTATGGGACAAGACCCGAAGGAGGGTAAGGGCCTTAGAGCACTCAACACGGAGGTAAGAGATATGGGGAGACCAAGACAAACGAGTGTCAAGGAATAACCCCAAAAGCTTCGCGGAATCTTTGTATTCAAGGGGATGACCATAAAGAGACAAAGAGGGACGAAGAACAACCCGCTTCCGCGTAAATGTCATGGCACAAGTCTTAGAAGTAGAGAACTTGAAGCCATGATCAGTGGCCCAAGACGACACGGCATCAATTGCAAGTTGAAGCCGGCGTTGAAGGAGAGGCGAATCATCACCCTGACAACAAAGGGTAAGATCATCGACATAGAGAGCGGAGAAGACACCAGAAGGAAGAGAGGAAAGAAGACCATTGAGGGCAACCAGAAAAAGAGTAGTGCTCAGAACACTACCCTGGGGCACACCTTCGTATTGCTGAAAAGAGGGAGAGAGAGCGGTACCAAGGCGCACCCGAAAGGAACGACGAGAGAGGAAGCTGCGGAGAAAGAGAGGGAGATGACCACGAAGGCCAAAAGAATGAAGTTGAGATAGGATATGATAACGCCAAGTGGTGTCGTAAGCCTTTTCCAGGTCAAAAAGGACGGCAACAACGGAGGTCTTCGCAGCAAAAGCAGTACGAATATAGACCTCCAAGTTCACCAGGACATCTGTCGTGCTGCGGCACTTGCGGAAACCAAATTGAGAAGGGGAGAGGAGGTGATGGTGTTCCAGGAACCACATCAGACGAACGTTAACCATACGTTCAAAAAGTTTGCAGACACAACTTGTGAGAGCAATAGGGCGAAAGTCCTTAGGGGAAGTACCCAGAGACCCCGGTTTGCGAACAGGGAGGACAACGGCATCGAGCCAGTCCTCAGGGACTGACGACGACTCCCAGATCCGATTATACAGACTCAGTAAATACTGAGACGTGCTCGGAGGGAGATGGCGAAGCATCTCATAATGAATACCATCGGAGCCCGCCGCCGTAGAACCGCAGAGGGCCAGAGCAGAACGAAGTTCAGAGAGAGAGAAGGGATCATTATAGGGAAGCTGAAGATGAGTGCAGAAATCTAAAGGACGAGACTCAAGGACAGGTTTACGAAGAAGGAAAGATTGGGGAAGATGAAGACCAGAGCTAACAGAAGAAAAGTGGGAACCCAGTTCGGAAGCGACCTGCAACGGGTCCGCCACAAGAGTATCATGGAGGTGAAGGACCGGTGAAACATCGGGAACGAACTTACCCGCTATCTTGCGGATACGCTTCCAGATCTGGGCCAGAGGGGTTTCGGACGTAATTGTTGAGACATAAGATGCCCAACATTCACGTTTAGCCGTACGGATGGCCCTACGGGCCACCGCACTCGCTTTCCGAAAGAAAAGAAAAGAATCGGTCGTCTGCCTACGGCGGTGCCTCTTCCAGGCTGCACGCTTACAGCGGACAGCCCGAGCACAGTCCGCATTCCACCAGGGAACGCACTTCCGTGGACCCCGAGAGGAAGAGCGAGGAATAGAGCGGAGGGCAGCGTTGAAGACAGTGTCATGAAAAAGGAGGAGAGCGCGAGAGAGAGGCAGAAGGGAGAGGTCAGAGAGAGCAGCACTGAGGGTAAATAGGGTCCAGTCTGCCTTGGCAAACTGCCACCTAGGGAAAGAGAGGGAAGGGCGAAAAGAGAAAAAGGAAACAAGGATGGGGAAATGATCACTTCCATGGAGGTCATCAAGAACCTGCCACGTGAAATCTAAGTAAAGAGAAGAAGAGCAGAGAGAAAGATCAAGACAAGAAAGGGTGCGAGTCCGAGAGTCCAAATGAGTGGGCTCACCAGAATTCAGAAGAGACAGGGAAGAAGATAGGAGAAACGGCTCAAGGAGGCGACCCCGGGTATTCGTCAGAACATCACCCCAAAGAGAATGACGACAATTGAAGTCACCCAGCAGGAGCACAGGCTCCGGCAAGGAGTCTAGGAGGTGTTTCAAATCAGGAAGAGAGAGCGGGACACTCGGGGGGAGATAAATGGAACAAACTGTGTACCATTTCCCCACAAAGATACGAGCAGCAGAACAATGGAGAGGCGAAGGAAAAAGTAAAGGAACAAAGGGAACATCTGCACGAATCAAGAGAGCAGAAGAATTAGAAGCCCCAGCAATGGCTGGGGGGGGGGAGAGAAAGGAATAGCCACGAAAACGACCAGGACGAGCACCAAGCATTGGCTCCTGGAGACAGACACAAAGGGGCGAAAACCGCGAAATCAGAAGTTGGAGTTCGAGGAAATTGGCGTAATAACCTCGAACGTTCCATTGAAGAATGGACAACGACGGGAAGAGAAAGGACAAAAACAGAGAACAAGGAAGAAACAAAGGCGAAAGAGCAACAGAGCACGTTAAAGAATATCAGGGTCGGGATCAGGGTCAGCAAAGTCAGGGTTAGGGGGCATGGGTAAACTGAGCAAAGACGGAGGGAAGGAAACGGGAGAACAGATCAGAGGTGGGCGGGCGGGGTCCGGAGGAGGAGGAGGAAGAGGAGGAGACAACGGAGAGGAGCAGTCAAAGACAGCAGTAGGAAGAGGGGGAGTAGGAAGAGGGGGAGTAGAAAGAGGGGAGCGCACCCCAGCAAGAGCAGCAACCGAAAGGGAAGCAGGGGCCAAAGAAACCTCCATAGCAGGAACAGGGGGCGCAACCACTGAAACGGGAGGGGAAGGAGCAACAGAGCCAGAAGTAGGAGCTAAGGAAGAAAGCGAAGCCTTCTTACCCGCCGGGGAAGAGGAAGGAGAGGAGCCAGGCTTACGCTTCTGACTTAAAGAGACAGGTGTCCCAGCAACTACGTACCGGGCAATGGATTCCAGTGTCTCAACAGGAGAAGCCGAACGAGAGCACACACGACGGCCGTTAGGAGAGCGATGGACATCCGCCTGCACCGACAGGCGGCGGGGAGAGCCGATAGATGGAGGAAGAGGATGGGAAGGAGGATCGGAGGGGGACGAGGAAGAAGACACAGGAGACATGACAGACCGGGTTGAAAGAAGGGGAACCCCAGACAGAGGACCAGGAGGGGGACCCCTCGGGAAAGAACTCAAAGGAACAGAGGAGGGGGCAGTGGGCGTATCAGGGTCCAAGGCCCGGAAACGGTTGAGAGTCTGAGGAAGGGGGGAAGGACGAGGAGAGGAAGAGCGCAACACGCGAGCATAAGAGATGTTAGTATAACGCGGGAGCCGGCGAACCTGGCGCCTCGCCTCAGGAAAAGACAAACGCTCCCGGTGCTTCAGGTTAAGGACGGCCGCCTCAAGCTTGTAATGAACACAGGCACGGGAGAACGTAGGATGGGCCTCACCGCAGTTGAGGCAGCGAGCTTGGGGAGAAGTGCACTCCGACTTAGAGTGACCTTCACTCCCACACAAAGGACAGAGAGAGACAGTCCCAGAGCAGCGGAGGGCACCATGCCCAAACCTCCAGCACTTATTACAAAGTCGAGGAGAAGGAATATACTCCTGGACAGAGCACCGAGCACCAGCAAGAATGACAGAGGATGGAAGGGTCCTACCATCAAAGGTGATCTTCACAACGCGAAGGGGTTGACGGCGACGACCACGAGGGGGACGAGTAAACGAGTCAACCTGGAGGACAGAATGGCCTTGGGCATCAAGGATATGCCGAATATCATCGTGGCAATCCTGCAGATTCCGAACACCGGTTGCAACATGGGGTGGGAGGAGAATAGTGCCAACACTGGAATTCATCTGAACGTTCTTGGAGACCCGAACAGGGATCTCGCCAAGGCAAGATAAGGCAGCCAAGCGGGAAGCCGCATCCTGAGAAGGAGCAGCAACGACACGTGTACCGAGACGAGTGGGGTTGAAAGTAACACACGCATCCACGGAATCTACAAGATGCCGATGGAGGGAGAAATCGTCAGGAGGCGCAGAATCAAGAGGGAGGAGATCAAAGTATTTGGCCCATGAAGCAGGACCAAACAAGGCCTGATACGCATCAGCACGGGAAGGAATCGAGCGAGTGCGGTTGGGGCGCGAACGGCGTTGAGAACCCCTAGAGAGAGAGGGGTCAAAAGGCGCAGTAGTCACAACGAAAGACTTAGCCACACCAGGGGACGAAGTGGTCACCACCGGGGGCTGGAGGCTCGACCCAACCTCAGAGGAGGGAGGGGAGCTGGGGGAAGAAGTCAGGACGGTCAAAGGAGGAGCAAGGTCGGGGCCCAACGCAGCGGGAGCTACAGAGCCTGGTCTTCCAATACAGGCCGACTCGGGGGCTTGGTCGCCCACCCCACGAGCCTGAGAGGGTACAACGGAAACATTCAACGACATAGAGACGAAAAGTGACAAATTCATCCACGAATGTGCCCCCATACCCACCATGGAGCCACAATTAGAGGCAGGACACCCAACAGGAAGCTATCGCTGATCATGCCGGGGCCCCCTAGGGGTGCGTCGTGAGTATACGCCCCACAAACGCCACCTTAAGAACCGTCAGTCCGTCGAGATCGGGTTCAGCGACGAAAGGGGGATTGACAATAAAAGGTTCCCCTCGCTCGAGACGTCGGGTACTACAGTTCTACGGGTGCAAGAGTATGCCTCCTCAAGCACCCGGGCGTCAAAATAGAAGAAGTCCAAAGAAATATTCCAAAACAAGCAAAAGGTCGGCAGGAAACGACAAGCAGATAGGAGAAGAGGGGGGAGAAAAACGAAACATAAGGAAAAGGAAAAGCGATCCGGCACAATTGGAGAAGACAGCAGCAGGAGTGCAAGGCCAGAAAAGGACAGAGGACTGCCCAACGGAGCATCACACTCCGGCAGCCGTCCACCAAGCCCCCTCACGACGCCAACGGGCCGGAAGGGGAGGGGGATAAGTTAGATGAAGTAATGCAGTACATACTTACCGTTTCAAGATAAATATTTGCCACATATCACAGTACTTTCCTGCAGTTCAATAGGATGGTTCATTTATATATATACAGTATATATAAGTCATATTTATGTTGACTACATTTGTTGCTTGATCAACAGCAGGCAATGATTACTTCAATAAACACTTCTGTGATCTTAAAGTACCAATACCACCATACGTGGTATGGTGGTATTGGAAAGTGGGCTAACTAGCCCACTTTCTGTTTGGCAAATCACTTTTGTAATCATTTCAGATATAACTCATTCATTAAGAACACAGAACGAATATGAAGAAAACATATTAAAACAAATTATTCTCACCCTAAAATTATAAACATTAGACCACTGGTAAAAGTGGCATGAATGAAAGCATGCAGTATTGCAGATTTAATTATCCTAACACCATTACTGCACATTACTGAGCAGCAAAAATAACTACTGTATTATACGCAGTATTTTCCTTCTGCCAATCTTACCTAATAGATTGATAATGAGGTTAATCTGTTCAATTTCTGACTTTCCGGGCAGTAGTGGTTTGTGCAACAGGAGTTCCCCAAGAATACAGCCAGCTGCCCACATGTCTACACCTGTTGTCTGAGTCTTGGCCTGAACATACATGCAAATAAAATATGTGTGAATGCAATTACAAATAAATAAGCAAGCAAATAAATACTGTATGTCTTAATGTCACACACCTGACGAAGCAATCAAGAAAACAATATACTATACAGTAAAAGTATCAATTTCTACATGATGAGGGTTAGGATTTGGCAACTTTACTATCCCTGACTATCTGGTGCCATCTGCTGAATATCTCTGACAATAAAGAAAGTTGCAAAAATTAAGTTATAGTACCATCTTGCCAAATTTTCCCCACAATGGGCAAAACTGGCATCAGATCAGGTGGTTTGCATCTATCCAAGCTCATGAAGGCAAAAGCCACTGCAGAAATTTTGCTCTTGTTACACATCCCAGGTATTTATCCAAATCATTCAGTTCTAACACTTCATTCACACACTTTCACTTACAGTTTCATTCTCATTCCCCCCTCCATAACTTTGCTCTTGATAACATTCACTTTTAGCAATTTTCTTTCACTCTCATCACTCTTTGGCTTAGCATAAATGCCATGATGACCTGTGAAAATAAAGAAAGCAAAATAAAATCTATGTTGCACTTAGGCCTACCTGGAAGAGCAGTTCAGGAGCCCTGTACCACAGTGTTACCACCTGAGGTGTCATTGGAGACATTGGATATCCTAATTCACGAGCAAGCCCAAAGTCAGCTAGAAATAAAGAGAAAATATATTTAAGAAATGATCTGAAGAACAAGATGGAAGGGCGGTGTGAGGAGTACCTTACACAGCAAAACCCTGTTGAAAATATGAACATGGAAAGGAGTAAGATACAACATAAATAAATCAAAGTATCATTTACCACCACCCAAGTGGGATTCCATAAACAGGCTCCAAAAAAAAAAAAAAAAAAAGGCAAAACCATGCATAATTATTCTAATGGTTTTTTAAAGTACCCCCAAGAAATTAATCAGTAGGTCTGGCTTACGGACATAGTCCCAAGTGTGGCAACTTGAAAAACCAGCGTTGAATGTAATGAAACACCATTTTCTGGGTGAGTCCCGGGAGCTCCCTGCAGCTATCGGGCTAATATGCAATTCATTAGACCAGGGCATTAGTCATAGGAGTTCAGCCTACTGGGAACCATGAGCCAGTCGGGGCAGGGTTTAGTTGGTGATGAGACTCCTTCAGGTTGAAGACAGAGGCATTCAAGCCGGCTCCTCCTACTGAGGCTTCTGGGTCCTTCCTTTCTTCTGGGTCCAGCAGGCTCCTTTCTTTTTAGCCTTTCCCTTGGACTCTGCCTTTTTCTCTGGGGTAGAGGGTATGGAGGACAGCTCTGCCCCGGGTCCCAACGTGAGGGATCCAGGGGCTGGGGAGGAGTTGACCTGGGGGGCCTTGGGTCCCCCTTTGACCAAACTTACGTGTTGGTGACCTCTTCATGGGGCTTGTTGTTGCAGGGGGAGGGGTTTTCTTAAACCCCCCCCTTCCCTGTATGAGTATCATTTGGGGTCGGCTCCTCACCAGGTTCAGTTCCGGATTCCTTTGGGTTCCTCAGCTCCATCATTCCGGAGGTTTTCTGCCTCTCGAATCTCTCCTAAGGAGGATCGGGAGGCTCTTGCTGCATACCTCCTGCCAGACCCGGATTCCGACTCCGTGATGGATCCATCCTTGCTTTAGTTTGGTTATTCTTCCCTGTACTAGGTACATTTGGAGGTTTCGGAGTCTTCCTGGCTGGCAGACTGCCCGTTCTTTTTGTTGGGAGTGCAGCATGGGTTCTGTTGGACCCATATGGTTGATTGGTAAGAAACGTTTACATCTCAGTAGAGGTTACCTGGGAGTTCGACAGCTGCTACGGGCTGCTTCCTAGGTGTGCTTAACAAAAAGGAGGCCTGGTCGAGGACCGGGCCATGGGGATGCTAAGCCCCGAAATATCTCAAGATAACCTCAGGGGCAGCCCAGAAGCCTTGATATTTAGGCTATTTAGAATATTTCATGGATACCTCCAGATATGTCAATTTTTACTCTACTTTGTTTAAATTTTAGCATGTTATGACAAGTAGATATACTATTTGATTACAAATTATACCAATCTCATTAATAAATACAAAATTTAAATATAATTAAACATACCTATTTTTATTGTTCCCATATTTGTTAGGAGGAGATTGGACACCTTCACGTCTCGATGAACTATCTCTTTCGTATGTAGATATGCAAGACCCTTGAATACCTGTTAGAATAAACAAAACATTGTTCCATATATTTTCAGAAATGCTTGAATCAATAAAGACCTGCATGCTACCTAAACATTAACCCTTGGCACGTACAGTATTAATGAAGACCTGAATACTAAATAAACATTAACCCCTTGTGATAATCAGTGAAGACCTGCATGCTACCTAAGCATTAACCCCTACATTTACAAGTAAAGATCTGTCTACTGATCATCAACCAGTGTTTGCATTAATGAAATTAGGAAAAAGACAAACATTGAATGTAATGAAATGCCAATTTCTGGGTAAGCCCCAGTGGCTCCCTGAAGCTATTATATCTGATATAATGCCAGATTACAAGGTGCCATCTGTCACGCAGATAACGGCAAAGAGCCGCAACGGATACAACACATGATGTACCCCACCCTCAATGACCCAAGGCCCCCACCCCCCCACCCCATGGAAGCCGCCATCTCATTCTTTGCCAGAAAAGAAGGAGATGGCTGCAACCGAACAAACCGACTACCAGGACCCAAAAAGCAGAAACCCTTGCACTGGAGGAGAGCATGAAGCTCACCAACCCAACCCCCAGAGGTCAATACCAACAGAAACAGAGCTTTGCCGGAAGTGAAACAAAGCATGAGAGAGCTTACAAATTGGGGCGGAAGTGACATCCACCCCAAATTCAAGCTGGAGCAGCTCCGCCAGTGCCACACAATAAGAGGCGACAGTATTGGGCATCAAATGACGGTCCTGAAAAAGCCAAGAAAGAAAGGACAAAACAACCCGATCGGAAATAGAAGACATCCTATGAAGAGAGAAAAAATGGCAAAAAGAACAGTAGGAAACTTCATACTGTCGCCAAGATGAAGCTCGCAGGTGGGGACACCATCAACGAAGCCACCTGATCACCATAGAAGTGGCAATGCACCCGCGTCAAAAAAACCAGATGCGAAGAGCCGAGGAATAGACCGAACCAGCCATGTACCAGACCAGTCCAATCTGCTAAAAGAGGCGGAGCTATGGAAAATGCACCGGGTTCGGACACCGAGCATGCAGCTCCTGAAACTATGGCTGGGCTGACAACAAGGGACCACAAGGACGACTCTTCCGTGGTAAGACTCCTACAGAGCCATAACCCTGAAGCAACAGTTGGACTGCGGGAAAGAGTTACAGGTCACCCCACCTCGACCAGTCCTGCCGAAAGGTGTCGACCGAGACGGTCGACGTCGAACCAATGTTCGAAAGGTGTCGAACCACCCCTCTAGCGAGGAGATTAACAATTATGATAATGATAACATTCAGATGGCAGTAATGATTTATGGCTGGGAGAGGTAAGTGGATGTTGGATACTACTTGCCTGAATCATTATACATTTGACTTGAGCTTCCATGAAAGGTATCTGCATATTGTCCAGCAAACTTGCCAAGTCTTGCTCACAGTACTCCATTACCAGAAAGATACTGAAAAGCAGATATTAATTACCTATGATTCCTAGAATATAAAATAAGTTCTATGATGAATTGAATAACTTAATAATGCAATTGCTTTTTTTAAATATACAGTATTTAAAGTTTTAAATATACATTACAATTCTTGAGAATAAATGGAATAACTAATTGATTTAAATTACCTTTCTAAACTACGCCCAACGACAACTTCCTTTAGGCACACAATATTTGGATGATTACAAGACTGAAGCAACATTATCTCCCGCAGCCCAGATATTGGCATCCCATCCTTTTCTTTTTCCATGCGCATCTTTTTGAGGGCAACAATTTCATTAGTCTTTGTATCTCGAGCACGATCTGTAGAAAATCATTATACAGTAATTAGACCACAGTAACACTGAAATCTCTATGATAAAAATCAAAATACCTTACAGTACTACAGTATACCATACAGTATTCTCCTAGAGCCATGCATTATTGGGTGTGCTGTTATTTAAATAACACATAAGGTTATCACATGATGTCACTGCACAGGTCACTTAATTCTTTTTCTTGCAGTATGTAGATTATACTCACAAACAACGCCATATGTGCCTTCTCCAACACGATTTAGTTTTTCAAATTCCCCTACAAATCGGCATTTTCCAAACTGAAAGTGAAAGTGTAACAGTTTTTAACAATTCAAATAATAAACAACATTTATATTAAAAAGTAACCATAAAATTTTGTTATAGGAAAAATTCTTATTACAGTATGTACTGTATATATATATATATATATATATACTGTATATATATATATATAGTATATATTGTAAACTTTATTGGCAAAACATAACAGTAATATGCAATTTAAAAGAATTTAATTACTGTATTTGCAACATTCTAACTTTTGAAATGGGATACAATTAATATACAAGATATCATAGGTCTAATCTAGACTTGTAGACTGTAAGGAGGAATAGGCTAGATGAAAAAGTTAGTCACCAAGGAAGAAAACTCTTGAAACTAACTGCAGGTACTATATAGCTTCCCATGGAAGGCAAAGATCATCAAGATTGGAGGAAGGAGATACAGTACAGAAACTACCATTGACTCAATCAAGTGTCATTGCACTACACCATGACTGTGGAAGGGAACTTGACTACTTTTGACTCTACGCAGTTGCAAAGAGGTTTATCTGGTAATGAGAAAACAGTTGTAAAGTCCCAATACCACACAGATAAGATGGAACAGGAGAGGTAATGCACCAAGCTAAGAACACCACAAATGTGTATTACTGAGAAGACAAAAGCACAAGAAGTCAGTGGCAATGGCTTTAGTCTATCATCACAAAGAGACCTGGAGGAATTCGCACTGTGAAAGCTGTATACTATGACATAACGTTGGATTGATGGCAGATCTCCCTTACAGGAAATCCAGTTACAATGAAACAAACTGATAGGGTTTCAAACTGGACAGGAAGTCTTCGACCTATAATGAAATCGAACCAAGAGCCAAAATATGGAGACCACCAACTCTTATCATAGTCGACACAATACTAGTGATGCCCCCGCCTAGAGTTAAGCTTCACCGAGCTAGTACAGACAAGACATACCAGATGCTTTTCGGGAATCTCAATGGGTTTGCCTGTGAGGAAGGAAACAAGGCCAGCCTTCTTTGTGGAGCTAGATGCCGTAGACTTATCCCCTTGCTCACTCATCTTGCCTGCCTTCTACTGGTCTTAGACCTTCTTAGTGCCCACCTATAAATACAAGAGTGTTCGTGCGAATTTTAATTAGCAGTGTGACATGGTCCCTCTTACTCCTGCGGCTTAGTGATGTTTACATGAGAATATCCCGAGCCACAGCAGGAGGCGTAGGAGTGACGTCATTAATATCTAGTCCTCTGCTACGATTAATGTTTCCACTCGAAACATTAATAATTTTGTAACTAACGTCAAAAATTTTTATTTGCTTAGCTAAACGAACTAGAGGGTTCAGTTCCTGAACCGATTATGTGCCTCTGTAATCCTTTACACCATCGCCCACGGGATGGGTATGGGGTGCACAATAAAGAAAGAAATTGAATTGGAAACACAGGGTGGAATGAGGTGCATAATAAATTAACTGAATTAAACTGGTATTTACAGTACTTAATGTTTCTTGTGCGACAATGGGGCCATAGAATTATATATACTTCTATAAAGCTGGGGATTTGTTTGGTGTGAGTTTCACTATTTGTTTAATAATATGGTAACTGCTAAAATAATCAACCAATCCTCTTCCCCACCCACATAGACTTGTTCGGCTGAAGTCATAATCAGTTCAGTTCCTCTTTCGTAAATAAAGAGATAAAATATTTATTGATACTACTCATCTCTTCGTCATTATCAGTTATCTGACCTGTCTCAGATTTTAATAGACCTATCCTTTCTCTAATCTTTGTTCAATATAACTGAAAACAAACTTTAGGACTTGTCCTTTGCTTGCCCTCCTATGCGAACTTCATAGTTTCTTTTTACCTTCCTTATGTCTTTTTTAACATTTGTAACCAGTCGGACGAAGTCTTGTTCTAAACTGACTTCCCCATTCTTAATCCTTTTGTTCTGGTTGGTGAAAGAAATGGTCGGTGAGAGAAATGGTCGATAAGAGAAATGGTCGGTGAGAGAAATGGTCGGTGAGAGAAGTGGTCGGCGAGAGAAGTGTTGTTGATCACTGGCAAGAGAAGTAGTGTGTGCGTGTAGCCCAATCCCAATTTTTTCCCCGGCCGTATTCCGGGGAAAAAATTCGAATTAAGGATCTACCCGAAACACTATGCATGCTAGTGGCTTTACAAGAATTTAAGAACTCTTTTAATATATAAATAGAAAAAAAAATCCGCTGACGAATCTTTTTCTGTGCGATGGGACTTGTATCTGGCATAATTAAAATATTACTTAAATAATTCGTTTGTTAGTCAATATATGATATTCAGATCTATAAATTACTTTAGAAAGGCCTATAATGCATATATAAATATTAATTTACGCATTCCTGGCGCTATATGCTAGGAATTTCAATATGGCGTTCAAATAATTTTAGGCAGAGGGTCTCTGGGTCGGTTGGTCGCTGACAGGTCATTGGTTACGGAACCGTCAGTCGTCAGGAAGCAGCGGCGTGAGCTGGTCGTTCCCGTGTAGGTAAGGCTGATCATATTTTTTTTTTTTTTTTTTTTTTTTTTTGCTATCTGAGCAATTGGGAGGTATGTATGAATAGTCTACCTCCACCTATAATGCTTAATGCATTATACATTAGTTCGCTATAATGCATTATACATTTGTTCGCTATAATGCTTATTGCATTATACATTTGTTTGCTATAATGTTTAATGCATTATACATTTGTTCGCTATAATGCTTAATGCATTATACATTTGTTCGCTATTATAACACTGAGTTTTTGTAATGTCTCGAGGGTCATTGTTTCCGTATTTTTTTTCATCCGGGTTCTGTAATATTCAAATGTTTGTATTCCACTAATACTAAATATATAGTCTGTCCTCTCGGATATTGTGGAAGATATTGAGGATCATGATTTACCAACATTATATGGGTAGGATATTATGTAGAATACACTTCCCCCAGTGTTAAACTACCACGTCGTCAGGCTAGGCTTGTTAACGCGGCGGTCGACCTCACCCCCACCCATCACCCATCCAAGACGCATTTATTATCGACTTTCATGTACTGTGTATCAATTAATTTTATATTTAATATTTAATTAGGCGTACGGTAGGTTCGGTATTTAGGTTCTTTTGGCAATTATTTGCACTTGAAGTATGTAGAGGGTGAAACATTTACAGTTGCCTGTCCTCAGGCCAGGCTCGCCTACGCGGCCGCCCAACTGTCAATTTCATCCTACTGTGTATTCAGAATTATTCTCGCGTATAAGGTAATATTATTTCATAAAGTTAATAGTTTTAAAAACTAAGTTTAGTGACAAGCGACAGTCCTGTGTGCAAATTACTGTAATAGATGAACAACTTCCCAACGGGAAGAATTAGCGGGGACACCCCTCCAGGAACTGAATTTACCCGAGGGCACTGACACTATAGTGGCCTCGATGAGGACAGTAAGCCGGCGGCTTGTCAAAGGTTCCCGCCATTTGCCTTGATGATCTTTTCCAGCTGTATTTTAAAACCCAGCAGTTTTGGGGTTTACGGCTTGGCGGGTAGGCGGTTCCACGGGTTTACAACCCTATGGGTGAACTTGTTTATTTTATAATAGTAAATAATAAATTAATAATAATTAATAAATTAATGATAATAAATAATAAATTAATAATAAATTATTATTATATAATAATTAATATAATAATAATAACATAGTATAATGATAAGCAATTATTTTTAATGAATCAAATAGCTAATTAGGGTGAATGATAAATAATTTGACTAATGCATAACAATAAAGTATTAAAGAATAATTATAATGAATAATCATTATAATGATAAAGTATTAAATCAATTACAATTAATAGTTACATCTATAGTTAGTAATTGAAAGTTGCATTATTTGAATTTACACTAATTTCAATTCATGGTAATATTTCTTAGCTATCTGCAGGCTTATCACTTTGGGGATTCCGGCGGAGCACCCCGAAAGATACTGCAAATGCTTAGCAAGCTAGAACAAGTGCCCCCTGAGCCTGCCTGTGCGTCGTCCCTTGGAAAAGAAAACAGGGGATGCAGAGGATCCCGGGAGGTGGGTGGGCGTTTTGTAAGTGAGCAGCTGCTTGCTTGTCGAGAACAGGGGCCCCCACAGTCTGCGGGCAGAGCATATATAATCTTGGCTCGTTGCGCGCGCAGCTTGGGCGGTTAGACTCAGCTCTCAGACACAAGTTTTCTTCCCTCAGAAAACCCACCGTTTTTTGGGGGGAAAATGCAGTGTTCTTTTGTCGTAAGACATTACTCCATAGCTCTGGTAAGACATGGCTCCAGAACAGCTGTCTTTCTGAAGACATAGCTTGGATGCAATAATTCATGTGGGGGGGGGTACACCAGAAACGTACAATTGAAGGTCTACTTTCTTTTCCTTAAAGGTAAAGGTGCACATGATTATTCCCAGGGTTTGGTTTGCCTTTTTACTGCCGCTCCCACTTGTTGTACAACTATCAGTGATTGGTGGATTCTGACTCCAAGATAATGTTGATGATTTGGTAGTTGTGCTGTTATGCCTCACTTGATGGATTCTGACTCCAAGGTCCTTTTCTTCACCTATTTGTTGAAAGGTAGTGCTGTCAATTTGGTAGTTGTGACGTGCACTGTTATGCCCCACATGCAAGGTCTTGCATTTATCGACATTCAAAAGTCTTCTGACCATTTGTGGAGTTCATGTAGATCTCTTTGTAAGGTTTCAATATGGCTTTCACTTCCCACTTTACCACAGATCTTAGTGTCGTCTGCAAATATGATGTGGTTTATAATATACTCATCTATGTCATTGATGTATATGACAAAAAGGGTTGTCCCCAAAATGAACCCCTGTGGCACCCTACTTAGCACACTGGTGGGGGGTTAGATGAGATATTTGCTTGCTAGGCTTGCGATTACACAACTGGTCGGGTTCCGGGGGTGTGACTTGTTGGGCTTCTAGTTGTTCATTGTCGGGCCCCGGTTCGTGCATGGTTGTTCACCAATGGTTGATTGTGTACTAGTGCTCCAGGTTTGTTTGCTAGGCCTCCATGGTTGTATGTTTGCTAGAAATTCGTACAGAGCTCAATTTTTGTTTGCTATGGCTCCATCGTTGGTTTTTAGAGCAAGTGGAGGGTCAAGGGTTTTAGGTAGGGCTAAGGAAGTGTTTGCTTGGTGGAGCTAGGAATGGAGTTTGGTTGGGCTCTGGGGCTGTTTGTTTAGCTTGGTGAAGGTGGGATGAGATGTGTACTTGATAGGCTTGCGGTTACACAACTGGCCAGGGTCCGGTTACACAACTGGTCGGGCTCAGGTTACACAACTGGTTGGGCTCCTGTTACATAACTGGTCGGGCTCCGGGGGTGTCACTTGGGCTTCGGGTTGTGCATGGTCGGGCTTCAGTTCATACATGGTTGTGCTCCAGAGGTTGTTTGTTTGATGTTTGTTTTAAATTGTTTGTTCGGTTCGTTCATTCTAGGCTTGCAGTTACACAACTGGTCAGGGTCCGGTTACACAACTGGTCGGGCTTCGGTTACACAACTGGTCGGACTCCGGTTACATAACTGGTCGGGCTCCGGGGGTGTCACTTGGGCTTCGGGTTGTGCATGATCGGGCTTCAGTTCATGCATTGTTGTGATTCAGATGTTGTTCATTCGTTCATGCTAGGCGTGCAGTTACACAACAGGTCAGGGTCCAGTTACACAACTGATTGGGCTCTGGTTACACAACTGGTCGGGCTCCGGTTACATAACTGGTCGGGCTCCGGGGGTGTCACTTGGGCTTCGGGTTGTGCATGGTTGGGCTCCGGTTCATGCATGGTTGTGCTCCAGAGGTTGTTTGTTTGATGTTTGTTTTAAATTGTTTGTTCGGTTTGTTCATTCTAGGCTTGCAGTTACACAACTGGCCAGGGTCCGGTTACACAACTGGTCGGGCTTTGGTTACACAACTGGTCGGGCTCCGGTTACATAACTGGTCGGGCTCCGGGGGTGTCACTTGGGCTTCGGGTTGTGCATGGTCGGGCTTCGGTTCGTGCATGGTTGTGCTCCAGAGGTTGTTTTTTTTTATGTTTGTTTTAAATTGTTTGTTCGGTTCATTCATTCTAGGCTTGCATTACACAACTGGTCAGGGTTCGGTTACACAACTGGTCGGGCTTCGGTTACACAACTGGTCGGGCTCCGGTTACATAACTGG